AGAGGATCGGAGGCGGATGAAACTCAGCCGCCGGTGGCGGAAAGAGGAGCAGAATCAGCATGACATGACGGGGGTGCACAATGGGAGGCTTGGTAGACTCATGGGCGTTCGTGGTACCCCGTGAGGTTGTTTAACAAAAAACGGCACGGCTAAACACCCCACCGGTGGGGTAATTTCTTAACCACCCCACCGGTGGGGTGGTTAAGGCTTAAACACCCCACCGGCTGTATCTCGCTCTACAAGACTCCAATCAGCTCAGGACTTCAACGGGTGTGCTGCTGCCTTGCAGGGCTGTCATTGGACCCATCGTGAGGCCGAAACGGCACAGTTTTCGTCGTGCCACGGTTGGTGGGGCATATACCGCCGCTACCCCACTGGTGGGGTCGATAACGTTATTGACCCCACCAGCTGGATCTCCCTCTACAAGGCTCCAATCGATACACAACCACCTGTAGGAGTGTGTGGTCGATGCACGCACAGCGCACAGCAGCGGGCAGCACCTGGGGCGCCGAACAGGTGAACAGGTCAAGAAATCCCGCCGCATGACGCCAAACACCCGAAGTGGGTAGCGAACACTGCCTTCTATTCTCTTGCAGGCAGACTTCCCCACTGCCGTATGTAGCTCCAATTAACACAAGACATGTACGAATGTGTTGCTGCTTTGCAGGGCTACCGTGGGATCCATGGTGAGGTCGAACGCTAAAGGTTTGGTGGTGCCACGGCCGGTGGGGCAAACAACGCAATGCATAGTGTATGCTCCACCGGTGGGTGGGGTGGATAGTCTAAGGCTAAACACCCCACCAGCGGTATCTCGCCGTAGAAGACTCTAATCGAAGCACAAGCACCATGGTTAGAGGGCGCTGCTCATGCACACACCGCGTAAATCACACAGTACACAGCACACCGCACACCGCACACAGCAGCTCTGCACCACTGCACCACTGCAGCACAGCAGGCTAGACACACGTCACAAGGGGGAGGGGGGGGACTGTACAAAAATCCCGCCGCTTGGCCGCATGGGTGAAAACCTGCGAACCTGCGGTCGCTGGGATCGTTTTCTGTGGGGCGATCACTCCAGCGTATCAGCACCGAACCCGGGCCCATTCAATACGCCAGCGTATCTATTAGCGCATATCACCGGCAACATCCATGGCGAACTCTCAGCTTTAGGCGCTGGCAAAGGTCCGTGGGATGCTAGACTTTGTCCTCCACCCGTCTTCTCCTGACACGAGTGGCATACCTGTCGAAGATGAGAGGTTGCAGAAGGTGACGGAGTGGGTGTCCAAGCAGGAAGATCCCATTGACGGCGAACTGCTTCCAGATGCATCTCAGGTGTGTGCTTAAGGTCGGGTCCATGATTGATGCTCCACGCGCAATGATCGACGAAGGTTTTTGTTTTTTTCACCAGACTGCAAACGGACCGCAAACGGACTGCAAAACCGCACTGCAAAACATGTGCACGACGTTGTTGTATGGAGATGGGGTAGCAGCCTCGTATCGGAAAGATTGAACTTTGATCTGCTCGTAGCAGCATGGTTAATTCCATCTGGTAGGTAGATATTTTTTTGCTCTGCTGTGCCATTCGTGCTCCATACATATATGTGTGTCGCTGGTTTCATGCGGGGAGTAGACAGGGTAAATGTAAGCATGGTGAACTTAAATGTACGCTCTCCGTTTCATAATTAATTCATGATCAGCTTCATTATCGTAATCTTCTCAACATTGACGATAAACTCGATAATTTATGGCCGTAATGTATCCTCCTCGATTGCCGTCCAGACCGCAAAGGAGCTTCTGGCGAAGGGCCTGTTTAAGGTCAAGTTCACCGCGGCTCTCCTTAACGGGATTGAACCCGAAGATGGTGGGGGCGTGGGCACTCCGTTCGAGCGCGAGGGCAACGGCGACTACTTGTTGAATTCGGTGGCGGCCTTCTTTGCCAAGGAGGGAGGTCGAAAAGCGAACCTGACCTGTACTGCGATCACACGCTGGATGCCCAGGGACGATTGGTAGATGTGTCTTGGGCTACCGTCCAACAGCATGAACAGATTGCAAGATTTGGGGGCTACATACAGCTGGATACAACGGTGATCACGAACAGGTGCACACAATACCCCCTTCGACAGGTTGCATGTCTCCACAGCAAATGTGGGACCGCTCGTTACGCGACGCTGCTCATGGTTGCCCTTTAAAATCCACGCTCGTCGTTTATGGTCGGAGTATTTGGTGCTGCAAGAAGAAGTATCAATGCGTCATGTAACTCGGTCTGATTGTTTGTCTGTAGATACGGGTGCCCTCTTCTGTTCGTCGTGGGCGTCGACGACGAGAATCGCAGCTGCATTTTGGGGCAGGGCCTTCTACGGTCTTGAGTGTACGGAGACGTTCGAATGGATCCTGAACAGATATGAGGCCGCTGCCGGTGGGCCGAAGCCGAAGGTGACTCTCTTCCGATGTTCACAACACTCATTCATGGCGTACATGTAGAACGAGGTCAGGATGATGTACAATAAAAAGTCGCTTCGCGATAGGAACAAATAGACGTCTATATTTGTTGAGGCATGTACTGCAGACGCAGAAGAGCTTGCCTAGTGGCTGTCGACATAACCGCGCCGTCCATGGCCCATCCCATCCGTTGACAAAGTACATTTACCCTTTTCCACAGGTGATCTTGACCGACGCTGATCTTGCAATGACGGCTGCAATAGCCTCTTGCTGGCCAGGGACGCTGCATTTGCACTGCTTGTGGCACGTCTTCAACAACGTCCTCAAGAACTTCTCGTCATCATCTGCTAACAATGACGACAAGACCGACATGATGCGTTGCTTCAGAAACGCAGCTTATGCAGCTACCCCGGAGGTACGATGGCATTCACTGGTAGGTTGCCGCCACATGACGGCCCCGCGAGAATGCATTGGTCTATCCCACCCGTTCGCCCCGCCACAACGAGCGGAAAACATAACCTTTGGCGTGTCTTGTGTCTACCACTGTCTTCGGTGGCAGGTGTTTGCGACCCAAGTGGCCCGGTTGGAGCAACTTGTGGCCGGCAAGAAGTGCGAAGGATACATAGCGGACTTGATCAAGTGAGTAACTTCCCTCCGTACATTTCGAGGAAGCGCCGTAATGCTGTCATTATGCCCTGGCTTGAGCCATCGATGCCGCGTCTTTACACTCGATATTCACTAATTCACTCTGGTACCCGCGTCGTAAACCGTCGTAGGAACAAGACCAAGTGGGTGTTCTGCTGCCGGCCCACTGTCCTCACGCTAGGCATGGTTGCTACTCAGCGCACGGAAGGTTTATTCGGGGTGGCGAAACGCTCGGGCGTCGACAAGAAGCTATCTCTGTGCGCTCTTTGGGATCGCCTGCAACGTCTCAGCAAGATGATTGCCATAGACTGTGAGGTGAGTTTGTCTGTTGTTTTCGTCACCCATGGCAGCAGGTGGTATCCGCGTGCTTCGACTTATGGGGTATTCCGATGTGCTCCACAACACGCAAGTTTGTCTCTACCTGCAGCTACACACACTGGTGGCGGATCGACATTGTGTGCGGATTTCTCCCGCCGTTAAACATTATGTAACACTGCGTTTGATGCCATGCATGCAGGTTAGCGACACCCCCCCTTGCCGCTGGCGTGGCCTTCCGGGATATCCACGTGGAGAATTTCTTCAGACCCGTGAAGCAGGAGCTCCTAGCCTGTGGTGCTAGTCAGTACTGCCAGCAAGTGAGTCGTGTTTTGGTGTATGGATCGTTGCCGCTGTTGAATTCGTGCGATGGTGTGTCCGTGGTTTACCAAGCTTAAGCACAAGTAGACACCATCCAGTCGAACTGAAACCCCATCCAACACATCTTCGTACTGTCGAACCTCATTCTGTCGCAGGAGGTCAGAGCGCAGGTCGACGAAGCGCAGTCGTATGACACCGAGTTGGTGAATTCAGGTCGTGAGGACGAGAATGGGGACCCGCTGCCTCTCCATGAGCACGACCTCGCCAAGATGCGCTCATTGCGCCTCAAGCTCACCATTCTTCAGGTCGCACCACCTGATACCGATCTCGATGGAGATCAGCTAGCCGGCGAAGCTGCGGTGGACAACACTATGTGGGCGCGTACGTCGCTGTCAGCCTTCTTGGATTTAGTCGCGGATATCCCTATCGAACTGGTCGTGGCCGTTCGATACAAGTGGACGGCGAACAGACCTGGCCCCCTTGTGGTGTTCGGACCTGACAACTTCCACTTATGTTCCTGTTTACAGCTATTGCGGCGCGGACTGCCTTGTAGGCACTACTTTGCGGTGCTTGTCAACCTCATCGGGAGAACTGGCGAAAGCGACGAGATGTCCTTCACCCATACCTTCAACGGCGCATGTATCCACAACCGTTGGCGTCGAAGAGAAGATGGCAAAGATTCGCCGTGGAGCATCTCATCGGTGCTGTCGTCGTCAGGCCACGGCGTAGGGTGGGACGGCCATGACGAAGGCAGCGACGAGAACTACTGGGGACCGACATGCGATGAAGCGGTGGATGGCATACATCCTGCTGAACCGGGGCGCGCCGCGCAGGATAGAAGCGCTTCCGACAAGCGTCGAGCCTACGCCCATCTGATGGCGAAGAGCAAGTAGCTTGTAGGAGATATAATGAGGTCCGTGCCCTTGCATCAAGCGCTGTCCGTCCAGGACAAGGTTGGGGACTTTCTCCGGTATCTTCTCAACTCGTCCGCGGGAGGCACAGGCGTCCAAAATCCTGGAGAGGCGCCCAAGAAGGGGAGGCCGAAAAAGGACGGTAGAAGGCAACCTCTTCAGCATCGATCGGGGGCCAAAGAGGAACCCGGAAACCCGGAGGGGCAGCAAGGAAAGTCTCGTCAAACCAAGAGGATAAGGGATTTCAACTACGGGCGCCGGTCGACGAAGAGGAGTAAACACGCGGAGCAGAACGGCGCTGGAATTTGATCCACACGATTTCCACGGTATTCCCCGCGTGTCCTTTTCAGAGAGTTGGGGGGCATATTAGAATGTCCGTGTTCCGGGGGGTAACGAAGTCGGCGTAACGAAAGAGGGTTCCTGGAATATACGAGACACCAAAAATCGGGGACAGCAGGGAGCCATGCCTTCGCTGCGGCTGGCTTCAATCGGTCATGAACTACTTGTTTCGTGTGGCGAGACACAACCGAACGCTCATGACCGCAACTGGAGGTTCCAACGGGTTCAACCTGTGGGCAACAACCTTCCTGCTTGCGCTCCGTCTACTTTTGCATCGCTACTTGCAGCGCGGCGATGATGGACGTATTTACGTACTTGATGTAGTCCAGTATGCAAGCGGCTTCAGTACACTAAGAATATATCACGTCGTCACACATAAAAGAGAGCGCCGACTAACGGGCATGGTGTTTCCAATGCATGGTGCGTGCAAGGAACAGCAACAATATACGGAACGGATACGAAATGCATACATGTGTATACCTCAAACAACAGTGGATATTCTACTGTACATTATTAGTGAGGAAGTGGAGGAAGGCAAGATTTCCCTGTGCGGAGGGATTTGTTGACTTATTCCCCCCCGCGTCTGCTGCAGTGGTGGAGTGGTGCAGAGCTGCTGTGTGCGGTGTGCGTTGTGCTGTGTACTGTGTGATTTACGCGGTGTGTGCATGAGCAACACCCTCTAACCATGGCGCTTGTGCTTCGATTAGAGTCTTCTTGTACGGCGAGATACCGCTGGTGCATGGGGTGTTGAGCCTTACCCACCCGACCGGTGGGGCATACACTGTGCATTGCGTTGTTTGCCCCACCGGCCGTGGCACCACCAAACCTTTAGCGTTCGACCTCACCATGGATCCCACGATAGCCCTGCAAAGCAGCAATACATTCGTACATGTCTTGTGTTAATTGGAGCTACATACGGCAGTGGGGAAGTCTGCCTGCAAGAGAATAGAAGGCAGTGTTCGCTACCCACTTCGTTCGGGTGTTTGGCGTCATGCGGCGGGATTTCTTGACCTGTTCGGCGCCCCAGGTGCTGCCCGCTGCTGTGCGCTGTGCGTGCATCGACCACACACTCCTACAGGTGGTTGTGCATCGATTGGAGCCTTGTAGAGGGAGATCCAGCTGGTGGGGTCAATAACGTTATCGACCCCACCAGTGGGGTAGCGGCGGTATATGCCCCACCAACCGTGGCACCACGAAAACTGTGCCGTTTCGGCCTCACGATGGGTCCAATGACAGCCCTGCAACGCAGCAGCACACCCGTTGAAGTCCTGAGCTGATTGGAGTCTTGTAGAGCGAGATACAGCCGGTGGGGTGTTTAAGCCTTAACCACCCCACCGGTGGGGTGGTTAAGAAATTACCCCACCGGTGGGGTGTTTAGCCGTGCCGAACAAAAAAATGATTTTCTTTTTATTTGTCTTTGTGTATTTTTTTAACCGTGGTGCGCCATGGTCGCCCATGGTACACCATGAGGTCCGACACTTTACTATCATAATTAATAATTTCGTTTTCAGTTTTATATCCCCATGTCGCCTCACGGTGCACCATGGGTTCACTATTCCCAAAGTCCCATGAGATCGGTCATGGCATGCCATGGGCTGACACGGAAATGCTCTCGTGGTGCCCCATGGCCTATCTCGCGGGACTACATGAGACCCCATGAGGCTGTTCTCATGGTAGCTCATGCGACCTCATGGTTCCGCGTAGTGCCTCATGGGCCCCCATGAGCCGCCATCTTACCGGGTTTTTTCACTACACAATATTGTTATAGTCTGGACATGACGTGAGATCCTTATGAACAAAGAATTATCCTCTGCACACCAACCCCCATCTATGGTGGATACGCCTCGAACCTTACTCACTGCTGATTGCACTCTGCATACGTCTGCCTAGACGCTCATTTCTTGCCTGCCGCGAAAGTGCTTGCTCACCTGTGTGTGTATGTTGTTTGCTTGCCCGGTAAAATAGAGGGAGTCTGGTCCCGTCCCGTACAAGATCCGAAGCCGAACGTCTTCGCGTGGCGGCTCGCAATGGCACTGGCACGCTGTCACCGGTAGCTTCGATGCGCTCTAACTCAGATGCCCGCTAAACAAGCAGGATCCCGATCGATGCAAATAGTGTGCTGAGTGAGGGCAGAGCAAGAGTGAGAGGCTTGTGTGGGCCCACAAAGCGCGTGCGGGGGTTCCTGCAAATGAAAGATCCACAGGGGGAGGAAGGAGAAGATCGTCGCCGCCCCCCCCCTTAGGATTTGTTTCAACATCAAGGGGAGAGGGGGACGGAGAGAGAGAGAGAGAGAGAGAGAGAGAGAGAGAGAGAGAGAGAGAGAGAGAGAGAGAGAGAGAGAGAGAGAGAGAGACGGCAGTCGGTAGTGTAGACCAAAACACGGTTACAACAGTGTAAAACGAGTTTTCCTCCGATGGATCTGGCCGGTCAAGGGCTTACACTACATATAGCACGTCAACTGAAAACGTCGTGTACACAGTGTAAAATAAACTTATAGTGTAGAATAAACTTTAAGGTGTACCTGGATCTATCTGCCGTAAGGAGAGTAGTGTCGGGTAGGGTGTGCAACTGAACAGTTCGAAGGTTCAAAAATGCCGTAGTCTTGTACTGTGCGCATGTTTTTGTCAAACGTCAGCGGCTGCACCGCCGAATCTACTGAGGAACCTAATTGTTTCGGCCTCTGCGTGGAGTCACTATTATTCTGTTGATCCAATGAATCGCACAAGGGTTCGACTCAATGGCGCCGGGCAAGAAGCACGAGTTTGCAACGATGCCGAGGCATGGCAAGAGATACAGCGAGCTGCTCACGCCTGAGGGTCGTGCGACAAAACGCAGTTGCCGCAGTACACGACTTAACCTCTTCGGAGAACGGGCACCAAGTCAACACCGGAGCCACTCAGATCACGGAAGATCAACATTGACAACGGGGTTATAATTGTCGAGTAGGGCAGTCAATTCCACAGCTACGGTATTTTCTCCCATTCCTTCGCAATCTGTAGCGGAGGCACCCATGTAAATAAGATAGTTTCGTCATTTCATAACCTTGTCGCCAGCGAAAGATGCCTACTCGACGGTTGCATGCCGACTGTGGCCCACTGCTGTCGATCTTCAATGAGTGTTGCCGAGGCCTACAGCCGTACTTGGAAACCCAACGACAAACGCCATCGCTCCGTGCGCAAAGACCGCCAACAACACCAGCCTTTGGAAAAAATCAGCAGACGCTAACCACGAATAACATTCCATCGACCAGGGTCGACCTCCGGTATCCAAATTGCTGTAGCATGCACCGATACCTCAGCGCATGCCGTTTCCCTGAATCTTAACGGAAACCAAGCACACGGCTGTGCCCCCCACGTATTTCTTATCAGTCAAATTATTTTATGGTGTGGCGGATGCGCAGCCATTGGTACATTGCAACATTGCACAACGGCTCCTGTCATAAATCTCACGTCATTGTTACGGCGGCTATTACCACCTTCTCCATCACGCAAAGGCTCGACCCCGCCGTCCATATGTGAAACACCATCCCTTTCGACACCCCCATGGGTGTACACCAATGAACCCTATTCACAAAAATGAAAAGCTTACACCTCCGCCTCTTCGTCACTCAGAGCCCACCAAGAATCGCCACCACCAACCGAAACCTCCAACCCGAACTCGAAACCTACTTCTTCACTCCCGTCCCCATGAACCTCTCCTCCCCCTCGCCCGCCATCCTCCCTGCCGTCCTGGCCCTCGGATCTACCCCCACCGCCATCGCTGGAGACAGGTTGCGCCGCCGGTACCGCCGTTGCGGCACCTTCCTCCTCCTCCTCCTCCTCCTCCTCCTCCTCCTCCTCCTCCCCCGACGATGACGACAACGCATCAGACATGTCCACTGGCATCACCCCATCCGCGCTGCCGGTCCAACTCCCGGCGTTGCTCCATGCCGGGCTAGACAACCCAGACCGGAGGTAGTGATACCGCGGCTCGCTGGAAGCGGTGCTGAAAAAGCTCCGCTCGGTGTCACCCCCGCCAGCCCCGACGACTCCCGGAGCGATGAGCCCGCTACCGCCAGCCACACCCACCTGTGTGGAACTCACCGGTGTGACGGCATCGGTACCGCCGTTCGACCAGGCGATGCTGAAGCTTCCTCCGGGAGGGCTCGTCATGCTGCGAGCCCGCGACGAGGCCGGTGACGGTGGTAGGGGAGAAGACCTCCCGTTGGCATTCCCACCACGTGCACGGCTGCGTCGGCGGCGGTGCTGATACCCCCTCGCGCCTCCGTGCCCGCCTCCGAAGTCGAAAACACCGGGGCTGTCTTCGTCCGGAGATGTAACCGGCGCATTGGCTGTCGCCCGAATCCGGAGGAAGCCGTCGCCGGCACCGGCGCCGCTACGATCGCGGTTCTGTCGGTATCTAGCGGCCGCAGCCGTCGTTTCCGGACAGCTCTTGCCGCTTCCAGCTGATCGGGGCCTCTCTCGTCCCCCCTCTCCGCTTTGGTTGTAACCGCTAAGCGGGGACGTCCAGCCGCTACCGCTACCGCTACCGCCTCCGCCTTGACTGCTTGGGGTCGGGGCCTCGATCGTGAGCGCAGCCGATGTTGACCTGTCGTCGCCATCAAGGCTGCCGTGGCGGCCGGTGCCAGCTGCTCCACAGCGAGCGCAGGATGACACGACACCTCCAGCAATGGCGGGAGAATTTCCGGTCGTCGACGTCGTCTGTGCCGCGGGGAAACAGGAAACACCGCGGTCACAAACAAATTGGGGTGGAAAAAAAAACAGAGCGCGGTACCTCAAGGGTCAGGCAATGCCGAATGTAGAGTAGAATAGCGGGCCGCTTGGGGCTATGGGTGGGGCGATACGGCGGAAAGACGACCAACAACAAAAAACGGCGTGCCGCATATAAGCGAAAGGCAATCATAACAACGAGGAATCACGAACGTCTTGCGCATCATTTAGGCTGCGGCTGGGCGATGGAGGATATCCCCTTGTGTTCATCGATGGGTGCAAGAGCAATGCACCTTCAAACCACCACCGCGCCTACGAACGCCTACAAGGTCTACCGCTTCTTAGGGACTGTGATTGGCAAGGATTGTATATCTCTTCTACCGGAGCACTTTCACGGGTTGCTGCTCTTGCCCACCGCCATCGTTAACACTCCGGCGGGCACTATCGACCTCCACCCCGCCCAAAAACAAACCATTCGGTTTTCGGTTGTTCTGCACAACAAGGTCTCACTCTCAGTCTCCAGAAAGCTCTCGCCGCTCTCCTCGCCGCCCACTTGTGGAATACGCCTGACAGAACCCTCGCGCCGCACATGCGCGTTCGGAGATGAACACACGCCAGCTCAGAGCGCGCTAGCCTGCACGCTCGGTCGTTGAATTTGGCGACAACAGTCAAGGAAGGAATCGGGCAAGGGGTGCCGCAGATGTATGTCAGTCGAGGAGGGCGGGGGGCGGGGGGGGGGGGGGGGTGATTGTCAGCAAAGAGGTGGCAGAGGAGTGGAGGGTGGCAAAGGAAAAGGTACCCCGTTCCTGGGGCTTGTTGTACGACACCTCGCCCCCGAGAGCTCCGTGTACTCGTTGGTGAAATAGCTCTGATTCCTACACTTCCTTCAAGTACCAACGACCGACATCAGCATTACCTGAAAAACCCAATCGAAGAGCATCTGTTCGTGTTTTTCCAAGTGGCGTTCCGGCTGCTTGCTCATGGCCGAACATGCTCCTGATTGTTCCTACATATCTTCCGGATCAACGCATGAAACTCGTTCTAAGCCCATTCCTATCAACAAGCTCTCGTCAAGCACCTAACCGTCTGAATGCGTTCCCAGGTTGAAGGCAACGTAGGACTAGCAGCTACGCCCAGCCTAACCTCTTCCTCCTGGCCGCAGCGCACCTGCTTTCTTCCTGGGCTTCGGCGTGCTGCCTCTTCAACTCGTTGGCTTTGGTCTGCGCCGCCGCCGCCGCCGCCACGTGAGCCCCGGCCACCCCTTCCCTAAGAGCAGCCTGCACCCCTGCTTCCCCGGGTACCCTGCCACGGCCGCCACTGCCGCCGTCACCCACGCTGTTGCTGGATCCCTGGACAAGCATAGCACAGGAAACAGAGGGACGACAGCAGAGCGAGGGGTGCTCATCAACGATGTATCGCTGTGCAGTGGCATGCCGCAGGCGCTTGCGTACTAGAGGCAGGGATGATTGTCCTTGGGCCCACCCTTCACATGTGAACACGCATGCGAACAACCAATCCATCAAAAAAGATATTCAAACCAACCCACGAAGAGAGACATTGAAGAAAGGTGTGGCGGGGGTGAGAGGGAGGGAGGGCCGAGGTCGCTCCCCTACGAACGAGGTTGAGCTGAGCAAGCACAAGTCAGCAGCGGCAGGCATCACACCGCGCCATAACAAAAGACGTACAAGAGGCCGAACCTGATGTCATACGTAAACACCGGTGCTGTTCTCATCCAGGTTTTGGTGAAAGTGTCGTCACACCAGCCGGTTGGGCAGGGGGACGAGGTCGCAACTTTTCATGATTCCCGGAACAAACAAAACCAGACGCAACAGGAGCCCAAGCAGGAGCGGCAACAAGAACAACAGCGGCCGTAACCCCGGAGTTGCCCAACACGAGCACCTTGCTGGGTGGGGGTGAAAAGCTCACCTCCACTAGCGCGAGCTTGACAGCCTCCAACTCGGACACGGTTTCCTCGAGGCGAGACTGCAACTGCGGTCACGATGCGACGGCAGGGAGATTCGCGGCAAAGGGTTCAATAACAAAAAATACCACCACAGGCGATAGGGGCAGGCCTGCATTGAGTAGGACGGATCGCTATTAGTCGCCCAGTTCAGCGGAGAGTCAGGTCAGACGACGAGGTACATAGCGGAGAGGATTTCGAAGCGGGACGAGGCAACATGTACACCACCACCACCACACCAATAACAACAACAACAACTACGACTACTACTGCTGCTGCTACCTGCTGCTACTACTACTGCACCAGACACGTGAAGAAAAAAAAACATAAACCCAACAATACCACCGGCACAGCACAGCAAACGGCTACAAACAGCGAATGCCACAACAACGAAGCCACAGGAGGTTCGATCTCGACGAAAGCCGTCACAAAAAAATATTCTCACCGCCACCAAGTCTCCGTCTTTTCGTATGAGTCTCCTCACGACGTCCGCCCTCTCCGCCTCCGCCGCGTCCATGGCCTTTTCCAACGAGGAAACCCTGCAGGTGGCGGTGTCGATGCCGGTCCTCGCTTTCGCCCCCGCAGCTTCCGCGTCGGACAGTTTCGCTGCCATGGCCCTGATTTCGTCCCTGGACAAGCGATCAAATAAAAAACCGACAGCATTGCTGAAAAAATGGGGGAAAATACTACCAAAACCAACACGCTTCGGCCCGAAGTCCAACCACAAAAGCAACAATAACAACCCCTACAACAACAACAACCCCTACATCACAAGCCAACTTGCCTGAGTTCCAAGACGTTCTCCTCAAGACCCTTCGCTCTTTCTCCGTTCGTCTCCGCTTGCTGGCGTGCCGCCTTCAGCTCGGCCCTAACGGAAGACCAAGCGTACGAAAATCCAACCACCGAACACACGTGTGTACATGAGTCGACACGTTTTCGAATCACACGATTCTGAGAGATTCGACTTGTTGTCCTTCAACACACATAACTATTTCTTCCCCCCCCGGTAAACATTGATCTCCTTTGCACCTGCTACCGCTCACAGCATGAAGAAAATACACGAATATATCCTAGCAAGGTTTCCGTACGAGCAAAAATATATAACTACCCCGTTATTGACGAGAGCTACGGCAACACCTAGGTCAATCTGGATAACTAAACGCCCTTTAGTTGTTCCAGTTGATTTGATCCGACTTCAAGGAGGGAAAATGAAAGTTAAAATTCGAAGGGTGGCGCTTTTCACGGTAGAGCTCGTTTCATGTCCAGATCTCTTGAAACGCATTGCTCAAATGCAGGGATAAATTACCCAGCAGCATGCGCTTCTACCAACGCTATCGACCGCTCGTGGGAGGCCGAGCGGAAAATTGAAACCATCTACCAAACTGCTGTTGCTGGCACACAGAGCGAACCGCCGCCTGTTGCACGGCCTATCGGGGTGTGGCCAACCTCAACGACACCAAATAAACCTTTCCACATCCTCCCACTAAGAGACCTCTTCGCTCCGTGAATGAGTGCAAAAAGTTCGAGGCTCTCGACCAGAAGCAACAGGCCACCCAACCTCTTTCCACCACGAAACCAGAACCCACAAACACTCTCCGCTTCATTCGAGCTGCAATTCACCACCACACAGCACTGCGCCCTCTTACCTCAGAGAAACCCTGTCAGCGACCATCTTCTCGGCTTGGCTCTCGGCGCGCTCGGCTCTCGCCCTTGCCGCCTCCGCGCCGCTCGCTAGCCGGGCCGAAACTCCCCGCTTCTGCTCGAGCAGGGACCGGAGTTCCGCCGCGTCCTTCTCCCTCGCCAGCAACGCCTGGTTTTCCTCTCTTTAGGGGGGGGCGCAGCGTTGGAGAAATAAGACAGGGACAAGAAGAACAAAAATATAACGTGAGGCGAGAAAGGTACGACCAAGCAGCAAATCGGGCCAACAAACACACAGAGTAGTTGGGAAGAACAACGGAGCGAAAGGAGGGGGGTCAAAATTGCTTGAGTTCTTGAGCGAACTAGGATGGGTTGCGTCGGACACGTTCCAGGGGACGAGAGGAAAATGAAAAATTCGCTCAATTTAGAAATCCTGACGGACGGATTGACTGCCATCCAGGGCTAAAGTTGAGCCGGTCAAAAGCGTGAGGCACCGCAGGCGGCGATGTCTCAGGCGGGACACTTCGTGTCGAGACAGACGAAGGTGTCGGTTGGTTGCTCAAGCCCTGCACAACAGCAGCAGCAGCAACAGCACTGCCCCCGTACGCCACACACGTGGTGCGATTCGATTCGCTCTCGTGAGAAAAAATCACTCCGGCAGAAGACTACCGGGTGTACCACAATAACACAACACCCACTGGAAACACCGATCTCTGAGAATATGCCACCACTGATGCCCCCCGCGGCCACAAGCGGTACATACTGCATCACTAATTTAGCAGCAGCAGCAGTAGCGCTTGCCCATTCCTCTACGGCTTGCGGATAATTGGAGCCGGCACATAGAAGTAGATATCGAAACCGGCTAGCACGTAGATCAAACGCAAACGAGTACGCGCAGAGGACGCACGCGCCCGAGCGTCATCATCATCTCACCTGCCCATGGCTAAGGCTTTGCGGACACTGTCCAACTCCTGGTCCAGCTCGTCCGTTCGCCCCTGCAGTTTTTTCGCGAGCTCCACGAGACCCTCTCCGCCCGCCCCACCGCGCCCATTCTTCCCGCTGCTGCCGCCACCCGACGTCGTGTCGTCCCGACGCCCGCTCTTTCCACAGTCGGCAGCAACCACAGGCTGGGTTCCCATATGCCGTAGCGCTGCCCCCTCGAGGATATTCCTGAGCTTAGCGGCTTCTCTCAGAGCCGCGTCGCCTGCGGCTGCGCCGCGGCGAAGCTCCTCAAGCTGTTGAGGTTTTGTTTATTAGTGGTGGACATTGAAGAAGGTTGGGGTATCGTGTGTGTTGGGCGGAGGGGGGGATTGGTCGGCGTGGTTTGCGTGCATGAAGACCCCCGCAATGTTGAGTTGGTGAGTTGGAGGTGAATCGCATGCAGCAGCAACGAGAAAAGGAAAGAACGGTGCAGCGGTCTCTAAAGTGAACGACACTACCTCATCACATCATCAGGAGCAGCAGCTGCAATTGGCATCGGCTGCGGCCCCAACGCATGCGCATCGAACGAGCAGCAATGCCGACGATGGACGTGAGCATTCATCGTAGAGATGGAGGAGGGGCAATCATCGCCACCACCGGCGGCGGCAGCGGCGACAACATAAAACAATATCAACAAAACCCACACCAACGACGACAACGACAACGATGCCGACCACGTACCTGCGCCTTGAGAGTAGTTACGGCAATCTCTTGGCACGCCCGCTCCGTCTCTGCCTCGGCAAGCCGTTCCGACACCTCTTTCTCCTAAAACAAATACAAGCATGAGCAGCGTTCCGATACAACACGATCGCAACAACGTATTCAGCCATGACCAGTTCGGGTTCGTATCTCGCTGAAATACAACGGCGTCTTCTCATCAGTCAGTCGGTTAAGCATAGCCGACGCAATACCAAAGAAAATCACTCCCCCAAACACACGAGCACCGCAATTTCATTGGCCGGTCACTTTGCGCGCGGCGCGGCCGCGATGCTGCTATCATCAAAAGAAAAGAAAAAAACACCGTCGAGAAACTCCCCCCCGCCCCCCTCCCTAGCTAGCTAACACCTTCCGTGCCGCCGCCTCCGCCCTCTGCCTCGCAGCCACAACCCCCGTCTCCAGGAACTTCGCGTGCTGTTCCAGTTTGCGGAGCCCCGCCGTGTTCTTGCAGGCCTTCTTCTCCTCCTCTCGGAGGCGTCGCTCCAGCCTGCCCGTCTCCTCCCTGGCACGGGCCTGCGCGAGCATCGTGTGCGGTCGCCGCAAAAAACAGCACATTAGGGCAGTTAGTTTGCTCGGCGGAGCCGGTGGAAAACCAGTATTCGCGGGTCGGGGGGCAGGGGCAACGCGTCCCAAGGGTCGAGGGTCTCGTGCGGACCGTCGAGTAAAAAATCTCCAGGGTACCGATCTGAGTGACGTCCTAATGGCTACCGTGAGAGGGGGTCTCAGTTGTGGCGGGTGGATGAGCGGGGCGGGAGGAAGGCGCTTGCAGCGGGAAGAGGATGAAGAGCGACCGCTACAGCCGTGGCTACCGGCGGTGACAAGTTTGGCTTGGCTCGGTCCGCTTTGCACATTTTCGCAAGCACATCCATGCGGGCACACGCACCTCACATCAACCAACATCCAGAACAACCATGACAAACAGGCACCTATATATACCTCTCTGTCGCTAAGAGCCTTCCGCATCACTTCCAACTCCCCCGCGACTCGCCGAAGCTCGCTCCCCTCCCTCTCTTGCACCTCCGACGTCTGCGCGTGCGCCCTACCAAGCCGACCCTCCAGGTCCTTCACAACCCGGTCCTTTCGAGTACCCTGGAAGAGGAGCCGCAACAAGGAAGGCGCGCGCGGGGTATGTGTTGTCATGAAAAGGCATGGCGTGGTCTGTAGACCATTGACCTCGCATCCCAATGATGCTGGGACGGAGCGATATGCCGGGTTTTGGTCCGCCGAGGCTACGTGTCACAAGGAGGCACCAGAAACTGGCCATCATCTTTGCCGAGGGGTTTGGGCGCGAAGGCCCCAGCAGGAAATGCGGAGTAGGGCGAGGGCACGCTTCGGAGGATGGGAATAAACAATAAACGGCACGGAATTGTCGTACTAAATTATAGACAGGAATACACGAGAATGGGACGTGCTATGTAGTGAACGGAGCATCTTGGACACAGCGAGGGCAGAGCAAAGAGATAGGCTTTCTCCTCCCTAATTGATGGGAAGGGTCATTTGGTTGGAGACTTGACATGAGGAGGAGGTGGAAGGGGGGGGGGGGGGTGAAGAGAGGGAGGAATTGGAACACGAGGAGGCGCGGATGACAGGGACAAAAAAGGGGGATGTCGTGAACAAGAGGGGCGGACGAGAACGTGAGAGGAGGTAAAAAGGACGACAAAAATAACGTGACTAAGGAGTGAAGCGCAACAGACGGGAAAAATGTGTCCGTAAGTGTGTAAAGAGAAAGAGAAAGAAAGAGAGAGAGAGAAAGAGAGAAAGAGAGAAAGAAAGAAAGAGAGAGAGAGAGAGAGAGAGAGAGAAAGAGTCGTGAAAAAAGAGGCCGCAATCATCCATTCTATACATCTCGGGGGATTGGAATAGGCATATCCTACAAAAGAAAAGGAGGATGAAACTTAGGATGGCCATTACCGTCGGTGGGGGCGGGGGCGACCGTGGTGGGAGGGTCCTAACAGTTTCACAACTACTTCTAAGAAAACACAACAGCAACAAAAAAACAGTCACAAGGCGTCCAATCACCAACCTCCGCTTCGCGTTCCCGCAGCCTCGCCGCGATTGCCGAGGCCTTGTTCTCCCACTCCGCCCGTCGCCTCTCCGCCGCCTCAAGGGACTTGACCGCCGCCTCTTCCACCTCCCTGGTTGATTCAAACGGGGTTGAACGGGGGTATGGCAGCGACTTGGCAAGGTTGTTGTTGTTGCTGTTGTTGTCAAACACGAAACACAGTCCCGATCTCTGCTCGGTGCCATCAACATCCGCGCGGGTCCAAATGACGCGGGTGCCTTCCGTGATCACAGGCTCGCCAACACATGAGACAGAGAGAAAAATGTGAAAATCAATGAGATAATGAAAGGATCGCAGACAAAAACCAAGGCAAACGCGACAATGAAAAACGAACAGAGGGTTCTCGACAGCCCCACTTGCAGCAGGTGACATGTCGGACAACAGAGATATCTCGACACGCATGTCCAACCAACACAAAAGCAACGAACCAAACACCTCGAACGGCACCAACTAAGACAACGACCTCGATTGATTCTATTCTCTCAACCCCCTACAAGGGCAGGGAATATTTGTCGCTGTTGTTTGCACCATTCATGTTGTTTTCTCCCATACAAATGTGTGCGGGGGGCGGTTAAGATCAAGTAACGGGAGATACCTGTTTGCTGCATTCGAAAATCGACAAATAAGACAATCTTATCCCCCACCATCCTTACAATGCCCTCTAGTACTCCATGCAAGGTTACACATCGCCGGCCAGGCTCTGCTTCGCCCCCGCTTCACGCCGTTACAAGGAAAATGACCCGCAACCGCGAAAGCTATCTACGAACACAAGGAAATCAAAGAAAATGACACAAATATCATCATCGAGCGAGCAACTACGCCACACTTGGAGCACATGAAATTTTTTGACAAGGGTACGTATTTTCTGAAAGCCGGATTCCTGCCACCTCTACCACACGCAGCACGAGGTTCCCGAAGGACAACGTGGACAGATTTATTCAGGCACACGAGTCCATGCCAACCAACATCCAGAAAACACTACGCCAAGTCGAGCGGTTTCGTTTCGGAGTGACCCACCGCTGTACAACACCGTTTCTATCTAATTATTTTCGATGTTCCGTAGCCATCTCGAGTCGCGGCTCGCCGCTCCAAAATTCCATTCTTAACAGTAGCACGAAAAGAAGGCGAGAGTTTGTTCTCGTCCTCCCGACAGCCCCTTGCTACCCAAAATATAAAATACTCACGGGAAAAGACACGAGGTATGCATCAGGCAGATCCAAGGGACAGCGTTAGAATCGCCCTCCGGCATTCATGCACTTCGAAGTTCAAAAGCATGCTACTACAGTAGCTTTAGCATGTGATCGTCTCCTGGCCCAACGTCCTATATTACCTCAACCGCTCCGCCTTGTCCTCGGAAAGTCTCCTGGAGCGGCTCTCGGATGCCCCGACCCTCAGCAGCAGCGCCGAGATCTCCTCCTCCCGCTCGCGTACCTGCAGAGCAAAGCCCCCGGGGGGATCAGAACGACAAAGCAGTGTGACCCTTTTTGCATGTACGACTCGGTTTACGCGTGTTTGTGATTCGCCCGCGTCAAGATTCGTGCTCTTCACCACCGGCTTGAAACGTACATATGCAAATTCGCCAAAAAAAGGTACACATCCGTCGTCAGAAACCACTTTCCACTTACCAACCAACCTCTCTTCATGCCGGCCTCGCCCCCCATCCCCCCCCACCGTCATGCACCACCTGAAAACCACCGAAACTCATGGCATTCCGTCACTCCCCGCCCACCCTCACCTCCATCTCCCGCCGCTCCCGCTCCCGCCGCAACGCTTCCGAAGCTTCCACGGCAGCCTCCGCCGCCGCCGCCTTCGCCTCCTCCACCCTCTCCTCGGACTCCGCCGCTCGCGCCTCCGTACTCTCGGCGCGCCGCCGGGCGTCGGCCGCGGCCGCTCGCCCCGCCGCCGCCGCCGCCTTGTCCGCGGCTCTGGCGGATGCTGCGGTCGCCGCCGCCGCAGCGGCAGCGTCGGCGTCGCGGTCTCGGGCCGACCGCTCGCGGCGGAGAGCATCGGAGAGGTCGGCGGCGTCGCGGTCTCGCCGCGCCAGGTCTCGTTTGGCAGCCTCGTGCAGCTGTGCGGACGGAAAGAGGGAGGGAAGGGGGAGGGAAGGGGGATGATACTCATACTTCTATGGTGTTGCACGATCGTTGTCACATTCTCTCGGTTTCTCTCCCTCTCGCCCGTTTTATCTCTGTCTCTTTGTCTGCCTGTCTCGTTCTCCATCTCTTTGGGTACACGATACTCATGATGTTCCGTGGCTTAAGAACCGTTGTCTCCCTCTCTCTCCCTCTCTGTCTCTCTCTCTGTCTCTCTCTGTCTCTCTCTCTGTCTCTCTCTCTCCCTCTCTCTCCCTCCCTCCCTCCTCTCTCTCTCCTTGGGCACCATTTTCATGCAACGATCTTGGTTGACACACAATTCCCTGCTGTCAAGCCTAACGTCCCGCTAGCACGACTGGAATCATGCACCAAGCGCTCCCCGGGGGGGGGGGGCGACTCACGCTCGGGCTGCTGGAGAAGCTAAATTGGCATCATCGACGGCGGCAGGCAGTTGACTTGCAAGCGCGAACGTTCTCACTACTCCCCGTGGTCGTGTGGAAGGGAAAGGAATGGGAAAAGGATGGCGAATACCGCGAATCTTGGTACGGCCGGGACATGCGCAATATTCTGACAAAGTCGAGCACTTCTCATCGCATGCATGTATACCTCGCGGCGCCCGGCCTCGCACGCCCCCAGCTCCTGACGCGCCCGGCGCAGCTCTCCGTCGAGAGCGGCCACCTCCATCTTCAACACGTCGGTTTGAACCTCTTGCCCGGCGAGGGCCCCATCTCGCTCGAGAGTCGCCTGGTCGTCAACGAAAAAGGGGTTCGAAAAAAAACGTGTACTCGAGAACCGCTACAGAGGCAGGCATGATGCGTTGTTGGACAATTTATTGTCGAAATGGCGACAGGGGGTGTTCCTCTTTTTGTCACTGTCTTGCAGGTGTGTTGCGATTGTTGCCGACAGATAACCGTGCTTTCAAAGCTACTGATGTACTCGCTTTCAGGCTTGATAGGTTTGGTTTTGTGTGTGTCGGGCTACAGCTGCTGCAAACTCTCCATTTGATCGGCGCCGCCTCGCCACCGCAACGATCGCGTTTTCTCTACAGACACAGGCGCACACAGAAAAAGAGGGAAGATGGCGCACCTCTCTCGCGCGCTGCAGCTCCTCCAGCAGCCAATCCCTCTCCGCGGCCAGCGCACGCTTGTCCTGCCCGCAGCGCACATCGGAAACCAAGAGGGCGCATCAAGCCACAACAAGGCGCGAAGTAAAACAAGCAAATGTCAGGACGGGTGCCATCGAACAGGGAAGCTTCCCATGAGGGAAGAAGCAGCGGCTACGATCAGACTACACTAAATACCACGTCGGGATCTGGTGGCAAAAATAAAAGCCCCCGTCCGCGATGAAGACTATCTTTTGCTCTCATATGTTTGCAGGGTGTTCCAAAACGTACAGTGACAGTGAGGTGCAACCGAAAATCAAAGCTCTTTAACGTCGTGTCCAGCACGACCATCCCGTCCATCCATCCACTACCGCGCGCGAGAGAGATAGATGTGGTTCCACACACCTCCATAGCTTCTGCCAGACTCCGCTGCAGGGACTCCCCCCTAGACCCATCCAAGGGCCTGCCGCGGTAGAGCCCACCACCGGCGGCACGCCCTCCCGCCGTTGCGGCGCCCATGCGCCCGGTGGTCGCACACGAGCCCCAGCTGCTCCCGAGCGACTCCCTGCTGGCCAGACGCGCACCACCGCCGTAGCCCGCGGGAACACCGGAACGTCCCCGTTCCGGCTCGCGACGGGCGTCGCCCTCCCCCCCCGCCCCCCCCCCCGCCGCCGCCGCCGCCGCCTCGCCGAGACCGGCGGTGCTGCTCACCGTGCTAGAGACACGCCGCTTGTTCTTCATCGACAAGTCATCGTTTCCCTCGACCCGCCGGCATCCGGTCATGCTTCCTGCGGCGGGTCTCCGCCGCTGGATTCTTGCTGCAGCGTCCCGAGGATGCGGTAGACGCTCTGCCTCTCGCCAGTCGAGGTCGGCGGCAGCAGCACCGAACAACTCGGACCCCGGCGGCGGCAAGGAGGCGAAGGAGGAGGAGCGGCTCCGGCGAGGATGATGGCCGAGAGCGGTGGGGGCGGGCACCTCGCCGTTATGATCATGTACTCTTCCCCGCTCTCCTCCGCCGCCGCCCCCGGTCCCCGCTTGTTTCTTGCTGCTTGACGATGCCGTCGCTTCAGGGCTTCCTTCGCCGCCGCCACATTTCTCGCCGCCCCGCCGGCCGTTTGCTGGAAGGACAACCCCGCCCTTCCCGAAATCGCTCCTCTCACGGCGGCGTCCTTGATCATCACGTCTCTTGTGCTCCAACCGGCCTTCAACTGCAGCAGCGGCACCAGCAACGGAATCCGCAGCCCGCCGCCCGTTGTTTGAGTCTTCTGTCGCGGCGGCAGCGGGGGGCGGCGACAACGCTGCCGTGTCACCGCGGGCGGGCGGAGACGCGGCTACTTCGGGCTCCGCGGTCAAAGACGAAAAGGACGACGGCGATGGCGCCCGGCGCTTCTGAGGGGCAGAGGCGGCTACGGCCGCCACGCCCATGAAGCCGATCAGCCTGCGTCGCCCCTGGCGCTGGAGCAGCGCACGTGTGATGTCCTCGAACGGGTCCGACAGGACGTCCACCCTACAGCAGCACGTAGTTACATAATAGTTCGACCGCAACAACAGCAATAGTGAGGCAACGAGCGAAACAACACAACAATGCGATGCCAACGCGGAGCGAGAGTGGTGCATGATTGTTGCCATTTTCTTCTTGCCCGTGGCGTGTCTTCCACGCTGGTCACGTGCGGCACGGCGGCGCGACGTTGTCTATGTCCGAAGCCGCCGTTTCGGAATGTATACATACGTGTGCCTGCAACATTCGTACGTGGTACGTGGAGCGATCGGGATACTCCAAGGAGCTGCCATAGTAAGCAACATCGTGCAACGTACACCGAAAACAACTGCTGTCCGAACAGACTGCAGCTTAAAATGATCCCATTGCCATACGTCTACTTCGAGGCTCACCCGTCCAGCACGACCAGCGCATCCCCGGGGTGCACCGACCCGTGTCTGGCCGCCTGGCCGTCGGGAGTGACCCGGAACACCCTGCAGCCAAGCCTCCGGCGGGGACGGCGCCGGCGCCGGTACTCTTCTCCATGCCTCCGAGCTTTGTCGTCGTCCACGATTGCCTCTAGTTCCAGACCCAGAGAACCCGGCTCAAAGGCCACCAACGTACAGGCCACCGGTGGCGGCCGGTGTCGAGTTTGATCAAGCGGGGGCGGCGCAGGGTGTCTCGTGCGCAGCGGCGGGGTGGTCCCCGCAACGGCAGCGGCGGCGGTGTTGCCGCCGGCATCGGGGGCTACCGCGCCGACAGCAGTGGTTGACCGCCAAGCCCCAGAAGAAACGCCGTCAGAGCAAGCGGCAGGGTTGCTGGTCTCGGCCTGCGATGGCTCCGGCGTGATGATTGGGGCGGTAGGGGGAGGAGCGGCAGCACCTGCATCAGAAGCGCCTGCTCCTGCGGAATCTCCAAAGGCAGCAGCGGTTACCGCGCTGCTGGATGATGATGGCGACGAACTGGTATACTTTTGCTTTCGCACTGAGGGTTGGAGGAAGCCCTGAATGAGCGACTTGGTCGCGAAGCCTTCCTCGTTAGATATGTCTCGTAGCACGGACCGCGGTGACGCCGAATCCATGATGCATCAACGGTCTGTGTAAAGCAAAGTGAGCGCACGTTCAGGATGCGTTCTCTCACAGCAGTCTCGGGACGCGAAAAATTTCAACTGCGGGAAATTTTCAAACCGTCACGTTCAGTGATGCATGCGTTGAAGCCTGCCGCCACCGCGCAACTGTCGCGCAATCGGTTGACAGGTCGGCTACACCATGGCTCTTCTCTTCCTCCTGGATCACGTCACCGCCGCCACGTCTCTTATTTATCTCTATCTCTATGCACGCCTGCAAGGATGCAAGGATGCAAGGATGCCCCCCTTTTGGTCATTGTAGGGTACAGCGCACAGAGGTTGCACCGCAGGTACGGTGTACCTCTTTTTGGCAGACGGCCGTTGACAATAAAGCCCACGCCCCACGCGCACATACTGGTTTGTGGGTGCTCGCCCTTTCCAGTTTTTGGAGACGATAGCCTTCCAAGCACTCTTCGACCGACTCAGCAACACACACTCGCGAAGCACTGACAGTGGAGACTGGTCCCAAGAATCAGCGCGAGGCTTCATCTGTTTGCCGCTGACCCGCCCATCGAGCTGAAAGGTCAGAGATGAGCAGAGTCTTGCTTGTGCGGCCTAATCAAATTGCCTTGCTTGCTTGGTGCCTCTCATCGCTGCTTTCCCCTCTCGCGTCGTGAACGGCCAACGATCCCAGAACCCAAAGGTGCTCCTAAGCGCACACACCAGCCAACCGGGACACCTCTAACAACCCTATCCCCCTCGATCGCTTGCACGCGCGCCACAGCTTTGAGGGCGGGCGTGGAACCTTCCTCCTGTGGGGGACACAGGGCCTGGGCGACAACCGCGCGCGGCAGCAGCAGCAGCAGCAGCAGCAGCAGCAGCAGCAGTGTCTCCCGTGTTGATCGAGGCCCTTGAACCACTGGGAGCAAACACAGCCAGACCACGATGCCTTTCGCAAAGGCGAAGAAGAAGGACACCGTCGGATGGGTGGCGGCGGCGACGGAGGTGGAGGGCGGCCAAGACCAGCAGGCGCCCTTCTCCAGCAACGGCATCAGCGCCGGCGGGGGGAGCCAATTCTCGAGCAACAGCACCAGCGGCGCGGCCGAGCGGACGCGCACGTTGGACATGGACCCCGAGGCCGTCTCGCATGTGAGTTGGTGGGGCAAGGAGGAGGAGAACCACCGTGTAGGCCCCTCGTTGAGTCCTTTGCTCTGGCGTTTGGCAACGAGTGTAATCGTCTGCGGCGGTCACAGCAGCTTTGGAAGGGCGCGAAGCTCGTCTTTTCCCCGCAACATGTCGCTGTAGATGGGAGACCTGCTCTTTTACTTGAGAATATAATTTTTGTGGGCGTCCTCTGGCTACATACAGGGTTACAACAATAGAGCTGCTGTTTGAAAGTACCGCCATTCGTATCTGTGTTGTCGACGTTAGGTTTATGGGGATGCTTGTGAGCACCGGCGGTAACCGGTTGTTGTGTTGCTGATGAACCGCGTCCACACGTCCTCTATGCTGTCAAATCTCTACACTCCAGACTACCCGGTACTTCCGCGGCATTGCAAACTCTCCTCCTTCTTGTACAGCAGTAGTGCGTGTGCCATGTGTGCGGCGACTACCATAGGAAATGTAAAGATTACAAACGGCCCAATGCTGTAAAAGAGAATTGCTGCAACAGCAGTCTAATACTGCTGTTCAAGATCATACTGCAGTTACAGTGTTACAGCAGTACCCCCGAATCCTGTGTACCGACATCAAAACGCAGCAGCATTATCGGAGCCATTTGTGAGTGCTCCCGTAATGTAGCCCGCATGTATGCCCCGCGAACAGCCCACCCGAAAGATGATAAAGCACGAGAATGTCCACCACATGGCTGCAGTTGTAGCAGTCATATAGCTACTGGAAGCCTCGGTTCCTCGGTTCCCTCGACATACAACGAGACTCGATGCAGCTCGAAAACGGGAAAACACGCGCGGTGGCGTTGACGCGAACCTGTGGACAGGGGAAACGCGCGGTTGAGAACGTCGGCCGCAATTCTTTATATCTTGACACGCGCTTGCTCTACTTTAGCGTTTGTCCCTGGTTTATCTCAGTCAGCCACAAAACGTCGGGGAACGAACGCCCCGAGGGTAGGGAATGGGTCACAGAGTTGGAGTCCATACCACGAAAAAACGGCAGGGATACAGAGTAGGGGCTGCTGCAGATGCACCCACCTGCCGGGCATCATATGTGTCTTGTCTCTGCCGTGCACACACAGGTCCCGCGAACACCTCTAATAATCGAGCAACACGACCGCTAGCACGCCACCCGTGTTTTGAAATCGACAGCCGAACACAATCTGATCAACTCACAAATCGCCGTCGAGTCAACTGTTCGAGAGCGCCGCATAACGGTTGTGGCATCCCCACACCTTTTTCCCAGGCGCAGATGTTACCAAACCTTAAAAAACTCCATCGTACAATATTATAATACGCCTTTGGGATGAGATACACGTATCGATTGGAACCTGCATCCTCAACCAGCCATATCTTTATGAAAGCTTTGACGCCCACCCGACAGCGCTCCGCGACCTGCTCGGGTTCAACCACGCATGCTCCATCTTGCCAATCAGCACGCTATTGCCGGTCAGCACGCGCTAGCCAATCACCACGCTAAGCCAGTCAGCACGCACTAGCCAATCGCCAAGCAATAGCAAATCAGCCACGGGCACACAAAAACACCTTGTCCGCCCTACATGCTCAACTCAATCTTGTTACCGCGGTCATCAGGTTTGGATCCCCGACCGACAAGACGTGTGGCGCCTGGCGAGGCTGGGGAGGACGACGAAGGACTTCGCCAGCGTGACCATCCCGGGCATCCAGGACGAGCCGTTCGACGTCCCCCGCGAGCACACGAGGGCGTGGGACCCTTCGCATTCGCTCTACCTCGAGGTCAGCCGGAGTTTTGTTGTTGTTCTTTTCATGTGTGCGGCATTTTTTTCTATTATAGTGTCTTACAACGTATGCAGTAGCGTATAGGAGAACGGGTGGACTCATTCAAGTGTCGTGTACGACCGTCCCGCCGCCATGGATTACCATGCCGGTAGAATCGCCGCTGCTGCTGCCGCCGCCGGTAGCTCGCAGTGTTTTGTATGACGCCCATGCTGCTGTTAGGAATAGACTCTCACTAAAGGAGACTGTATTCGGCGATGGGCGCGACCGATTTCTTTTTTGCACCGTGTGTAGAGACGTACTTCTGTGGTTGTAAATTTAGATGCGTACGGGTCCGCGTTATGTTGCTGTGTCTGGAGGAATACCTTGCAGTCGGAACCTGACTGAGGGTGTGGGTGATTGCGGCGCGTTGACAATCATGATCATTCGCGATCGCAACCGCTGGTGCTGCTCCAAACCTCAGACTCCTGTCGTTATTGTTATTGTGGTGGGTGTTTTTTTTTCGCATCTGCTCGCGATCACGCCGTGCCGTCTCGATGTAGTCAAAGCAATGTCGGTGGAAGGCATCGCATGTTTGCAACTCGCGTGCTGCTCGCCGAAGTCATGGGCGTGTTCTTGGCCCTTCCCGGCCGGCAGAAATCGCCTGCGCTATGCATACACACATATTGTAGGCCCGCTCACAATGTCACTAATTACCTCACGGACATGGGATACCATCCTCGTTTTCATGTCCACCATTCGAAGGGTTGCGATGCCCTCAAACGGAGCAGTGATGTGTCGCCCTCTGTGGGGTTCGGCAGAGCGTGTAGTGGAAACCTCTAGCGCCTGCCTCTGTGCTGTTGGCTTCGCAGTGTCATCTTTTCGAGGGGGGCGTCAGATATCATACGCCGGCCCAATTCCTAAGGACCCTACTCCACAGCAGGAAAACTAGTGCCGAAAATGGCAATGTTGGAACCGACTGGCCGACATGTTTCCGAAATTCGTCCTCTTCCTCGTGGAGTAATCGTGCGTTGAACATTGGTCCAGAGGGTGTGATATCTGTGTCACCAGTGGTAGTCCCGTACTGTTCGTAGTGTCGTTTCTTTTTGCTTTTGTCGGGCAGGATGCGATGAAACTTGGTAGCCTTCACGGCACTAAGGTTTCTCTGAAGCGCTCTTCTTACCACGATGTTATTTCCATCTCGTGTACATCTTGCGGCCAACTCAGAAGCTTCGGCCCCACAAACGTCTACCATGCTCTTCTCACACCGCCGTACAAACATGTTCTTCTTCTCTCCTGCACAGGATGCGGCCAAGCTCAACAGCCTCCACGAGGCCGCTCTGCTGAGCCTCCTCCACACTCGCTTCTGCAACGACGACATCTACACGTACACGGGGGACGTGCTCATCTCCGTCAACCCGTACAAGACCATCCCTCTGCTGTACTCGATGCCCCACGACAACTCCGACGCCATCAAGCGCAGGTGCGGTCGGTGGTTGACATGGTATGCTCTACACCCTGTACTCTCGTTTTTTGTTTCTTGCGTGAGTTAGATTTAGGCGCAGCCAGATGATGCCGAACATACCCTCCCGTGTGTTGTGTAGCGCTATCCCTGCCTCCTCGCCCCCACCCCCCCATCTGGGACAAGTGCAGCCGAATGGGTGACATCGACCTTTAAGCTGTCCTCCCCGATGACCGGGTGTACTTGTACTGCCCACCCTTTGAGTACGGGCGAATTGTTGCCATCCAGTGGATATAGTTTCGACGCTTCGACTGCCGGCAGCAACCATCGCCCTCCTCTTCGCACTATCGCAACCTTTGAACGCTCCCCACCCATGTTCCTCCGAGTTTATAACCTCTGGTAGTCACGTTTTTGATTGGTAAATCGGGCAGGGTCACCGCCGGCGTGGGGAGGCTGTCTGAGATCGAGAGACTCTGCGCCAACGGCGGCGGCGACGGCGGCGGTACTGAAGACGGGTCCGAAGACAGCGACTGCGACGACGGATCGCAGCACCAGCGCGGGAGCTACGACACGCGAGGGAGCGATATGGGCGGGGTCTGGGGGGCGGGCGGCGGCGGCAACCATTCGTCCTTTCGAGACCCCCGCGGGAGCGGGGGCGGGGCTAGCGTGACGTTTAGCGAGGGCGGCGGCGGGTTCCGCCCCGCCGGCGGTGGCGGCGGCGGCGGCGGCGGCGGGCGTGGCGGGGGGCACCCTGGGGAGAGCAAGAGCGATTCGGTAGGGTTTTGTCGTTATTTTGGTGCAGTGTGTCTGGGTATGGTCGCATTCTGTGTCGGTCGGTATCCTGTGTCTCTGTCCATTTGTCACTTGAGGTAGTGATCATGGTCACCGTCAGAACAATCTTGGGGCAGATCGGGTCACGGAAGATTGCATTCTTGCGGGCACTTTCCGTGGACGCGACCAGAGTACTTCTGTTGGGGGAGAGCCTGCACATGTTTGGGAGGGGGGGCTACGTTGAACCCCAAAATACTTTCATCGCGTTAGATACCACATCCGCCGGAGCAAATCTACAGCTCTTTTTGTCCACGACGAAAAAGATGCCGAATGGTGCGTTTCGGCATGCTGTCGACGAGACGGGTGCAAAGTCGCGAAATCCGGCGCCGTTACTGTTTGTGCTGCAGAGTGAGTAATCGGGCTCTTCAATCGTGCTCTTCAGAAACGTTCGACATTTTTCTTGGCCTTGCAGCCTTTTCTGTGTCCACCGCATGAGGGGATGATAAACTAAACGTCCGCTGCGTTCCCTTATTGGCACGTCTGAAGGTGCTGGACCACCCCCACGTGTACGCGGTGGCCGACAAAGCGCACCGTTTCATGACGAACCCTACCGCGGGGAGGCTGTCCGGCGGCGTCGCGGGAGCGAGGAAGCGGGACCAGAGCATCATCATCACGGGAGAGAGCGGCGCCGGGAAGACGGAGGCCGCCAAGTAAGCTTAAGCTATAGTAGGATTTTGCTGCTTTTTTGGCCTAATGATTTGCACTCTGAATGACCGGCTGGGAATGTGTTGGAGGCGATGGGAAGGGGGTTCCGGGTGGTCGTTCGTGCTGTATTTTTTCTCACGACCATGGACGTTGGCCTTCCATGTCTTCGGCAAAGGCCGGGACGGATCACACGACGGACTTTCGCCGGTTAGGGTCTTACGTCTTTCATGTGGGAAAGTGGCAAGAGATGGCGGGTGGGAGGGAGGGGGTCATGCAACAGGAATTTTTGGGGGAGGTTGTCTCGCGCAGGGGTAGCAGACGGTCCCCAGACGGCCACGAAGTATATTTGTTGGGTGGTTTTGTCTCTCATGCTCTGCTTCAACCGTTTCGCGTATCACCCCCCGCTCGCGCACGCTGCCGATTGGGAACGACAGCCCGGGATTTCATCGCATCGAGTGGTGATGACCATCCGACAACAGCCCGTCAATCCGTCCATCTGCTTATCTGCTTCTTTCGAACGGCACGTCGTGACAGTGCCGGTCATGTCGTTCGCGAACGTATTCACCAACACCCCAGCCTGCACCGCTCTTTTTACACCCCCGTGCCTTTTTCTCGCGCCCCTGGCTCTCCTTTTCTCTGTTGTTGTCGCGTTTCCAAAAATAACACACACACGCAATCAAAGGTACGTGATGAAGTACCTTATCGCCGCATCCAAGGCCGTCACCGCCGAAGCCGAGAACGGCGACCCCGCGGGCGGCAGCAGCAAGAAGGCGGGGGAGGGGGGGTCGTCGCGGGCGGCGCTGGCTGCTGCGGCGGCCGCCGCGGACACGGCGAGCGACATGGAGAGGCGGCTGCTGGAGTCCACGGTTGTGTTGGAGGCCTTCGGTAACGCAAAGACGGTTCGCAACGACAACTCCTCTCGATTCGGTGCGCAGCAGCAGCAGCAGCAGTAGCAGCAGGACAGCCACATGAATGCAGCCACTGCGGGTGTTCTAGTTTTCCACGTACCGTATAGTTTGCTTGTTTTGGTCGCCGTTGGAAGACTTTCATGTGTTTTTTTTTTTTTTTATAGCACCGTCATTCAACCGAAACTCCCCACTGGCCTTGTGGCGTCCTGCACAATGTACTGTACGTCGCCGGTGCCACGTTCGTCGCTGGTGCTTGTGGCGCCGGCGACCCCGAAAAATCGTCAAGCTACCAACCACCCGTTGTGTCGCGAGTTTGAACCTGTGGGTTGCGGCTCCTCGCCTGACGTTGGCCTGTAGAGCCCTGCGTCTAGTTCCGTTGTGTTATGCTCACAGGTGAGTACGTACGTAAAGCTAAGTGCCTGGAAGATTGTTCCGTTCTCGTGTTCTCTCAAGCAACGCCTAGGGTAAGTGCGCCAATTCTTGTTTCCGTTGCCGCGCTACCTCCTCCTCTCAGGCAAGTACATCAAGCTGCAGTACGGCGCGGACTGGAAGCTGGGCGGTGCGCGGACGCTGCCCTTCCTGCTTGAGAAGAGCCGCCTGGTGCACCAGGAGCACAACGAGAGGAACTACCACGTCTTCTACCAGCTGTGCAAGGGGGTGAGACCTTTGTCGGAGACCGTTCCGTCCTTTCCTTGTTGTTAGATGAAGAAGAGTTTCGTGGTTGCGGAGGTTGTGGTGGATGTCTGCTTCGAGACTGAGGCTGAACGCTGCCCGGTGCTTTTCCAGGAGTATCATGCCTGCTTTTCGAATATCGTCGCGCGCAACAAGATGTGTTGCGACGCACGCCTACTGCTGTATTGCAGCTGTCACTCCGCCGTGTGTCACCTGGTGATGCATGGCAACCGCGTTCGTTCGCAGACGTGCTGTACTCTGTTCGGTACTCCGGTTGGATCTGTAGCCGTCATAGGGGTTGTACTCGTCTCGTGGGGTACTCTTTATGGGCTTGTTGCAATAGGTTCACTCTGTGGCGACCGTACATACCAACAATTGGTGGGTGTGAACGCTCTTATGTCAAGCGGGTTCTCGCTGTTTTTTGGTCTTGTGTATGCGTGCGATGTCCGAGATGCCGGTGACGTTGTACCTTGTCTGGGACAAGGTGTGTGGGTACCGGGTACATACGATACAAGACAACCCAACAGGTGGTCACATATTTTTCTTTAGCGAAGGCGTTAGATACCGCTGGGGTGTGACTTCTTCAATCGTCCACGGTTCTCAAAACTTCCGCACCATGCGCGTGACTTCCTCTTGTTGTAACGTCTGTGCTTGTGCCCGTTCGTTGTTTGCGTTTCTCCCCATGCGATCGTGATGATGATCGAAAAGGTGCCGGACGAGCTTCGCCAGAGCCTGAGCGTTGCCAATGCCCCGGAGTTCGAGATGCTTCGGAAGGGAGGCGTGTTCATGCAGAGCGATGAGGTGGGGGAGGGTGATCCGAGCGTCTTCTCTCACCACTAGTTGTATTCTCTCTTTCTACATGTTTTGCTCGAGATTTTCCCCCCAAGGGGAGCGTTTTCGTGCGGAACGTTAAGTTTCTCGCACCCTCTACTACATACTTCTGCCCGTACCGTGCTATTGATGGTCCCCCAGCGTGGCTGGTGGTGCTGCATGCTTGTATGCTGTTTCTAAGCAATCACCCTCTTCTTGCGACATGGCCTGTTGGGGTGCCCTACTCTAGTGTCTGATGCTCGAATCGAATCGATTCTGCCTTTGAGCTCATTCTTCCAAGCGTCGTCTTCTTTACGAAGTGATCCGGGCGGGGCGTCTGGCGTGAGCACGATTGTGGTGATCCATGCCACCCACGATACCCCCACTATCGCAATTCTAATCTATTCACGACTTTCCAGGTGGACGATGCCAAAGAATTTCACGACCTGGCTTCAGCTACAAGTATGACCCCATGCCAGTCGCGCCCCCCCCCCTCAACGGCTTTTTATTGTAAATCCCATTTAGTACGTTTAAGGTGGACGTTGCCGCGCGGAGTTCCACCCCCTGGCCTCTGCTATGACCTCACGCTGCCCCCTCCACGCCGCTTAATTGCCAATCCCGTTTTTACGCTTCAGGTGGATGATGCCGAGGAGTTCCACTGCCTGGCCTCCGCGCTGTCCACCCTGGGAGTGACCTCGGAAGAACAGGAGGGGCTCTGGCGGCTCCTCGCGGCCTTGCTGCACCTGGGAAACATTATTTTCTGGGAGACCGACGGCGACGGCGGTGACGGCGGCGACAATGATGGAGGGGACGAGGGTGGGTCGGGGCTTCGTCTGGAGAGTCCCCTGCTGGCGCTGGAGGACGTGGCGAGCATGGCCGGGCTGCCCGCAGACCGCCTCGTGTCCTCCATGCGCAAGAAGGTCGCGATGACGGGGAGGGGGAGCTTCCTGGAGATCCCGCTGAACCCTACCCAGGCCAGGGACAACCGCAACGGCCTGGTGAAGCACGTCTACGGGCAGGTGAGATCACAAGGGGCGGTGGGCGTGCGCGGGAGGGGTGCGTGTGCCTGTGTTCGGACGAATCAGCCGGGGCGAATCGGGTGGTCGATGGACTCAGATAGATGTAGATCTTGGTGCGCTCGCATGATATGTAGGAATGTTTCTCGCGTTCGTGTTTTGTGTATGTTGTGTGTTTACTTACGTGTATGGTGTGTTGGTTTGTTTCGGCTGCACAAGTTGGCAGGCGAGTATTAGTATGAGTATTAATATTAGTTTTAGTATTAGCATGCCTACACTCTTTGTGTCGTGTGGCGGTCGATTCAACGCTGTAGCGTCGCGAGAGCCAAATCAAGCTTTTGAGAAATGGCTGTCGAGCGGTATTTCCTCGAAGTGATAATTTCAGGTGTTTCGAAGTGTATTATTGTTTTGAACACCCAGCTGCTGCATGTTTCCCGCCCCCTCCCCCCTCTCTCCCCATGTTCACACAACTTTTGCCACCTACCGTTGGTGCTGTCTGTGGTGGGGGTGAAGGTTTTCAACTGGCTCGTGGGCAAGATCAACGAGGCGCACAGGTCTGGAGGCGGCGCTGACATGGCGGACACGGTAGCTTTCGTGGGCATCCTCGATATCTTCGGTAAGAGGTTGGACTTTTCCTTTAGTTTATGTACTTGTTCGGTTGTTCGATTTTTTTTTATTATTATGACAATCGTGCTGCAAATGTGGATGGTTTGCCCGAACAACGGTTTGGTGCGCCAGGCTACGTACATCAGCTGTATGGTGAGAACGAGCTAAATACTTCCATGGCAACGCGACATGGAAAGAGGATCCCAGGGTATCCCTCTCTCTCTGTGTACCAATAGCCAATATTTGCAACAGCCACGTCGTTAAGTTTTGATCAATCCTGTCGGTCCCTTTCTCACATGACCAGCTACTCCTTTTCAACTTTTTTTTTGCGTGCGAGGAGTACCTCGTGCAAAATATCGAGCCTCGGGGCACGCTGGATATCTCCGCCTGTTGCATTTCGGCTCCTGAATACAACACCTGTGCAAGTCGTCGCCATTCCGGAGTTTTGTTCCATTCTTGGTTGTCCTGCGATTGCTGTATACGTACTTCAACAACGACAGGGTTCGAGATCATGGTCCGCAACAGCTTCGAGCAGCTGTGCATCAACTTCGCGAACGAGGTACTGCAGCAGCAGTTCAACAGCCATGTCTTCGTCCTCGAGCAGGAGGAGTACGAGAAGGAAGGGTACGTCCTCGTCCCAAAAGGGTCCCGTCTTAGTACTCGCCCTGAGTAGTGCTCGTGCCGTTTCCAGTCTACGTGTACGTTGTCTCATCAGGTACAGGAGAGGCGGCAGCAGCAGCAGTTATCTAAGCTTTCTTCTCTTGATCACCGCTTCGAGAATGGCCGGGCAAACCGGGACGCGTTCGTTGTAGGCCCTGCGACTCGTTCGTCTCCTACCCACCGACCCGCTCCGCGGGCGTGACCCACTACGACGATGGAGTTTCTGTTCCATGAATGCCTACCGTCTGTTATGGGCGTTGTCTCTAGTTGGACAGACTCCCCTTCATCGGTGATGTCCTCCGCACACCGTCCGCGGAGCACCAATCGTTCACTCACGCCTCCATTCAAGCTGGACTGACTGGAACACGACCGAGACAGGCCTGTTACATGGGTATCCGTCTGCTTGAAATGCTTCCGCGTGTACGGACAAGTCTGGCTGCGGAATTGAAGATTCATTTTCTCGTCCCATCCCTCCGCCGCTTGTCGTCCTCGCCTTTTGCGTGTTTACTTCCATTCCTGTGCGCCTCATGCGCCGCTGGTGATGCGCGGTTTAATATTTCTCTCTGTAAGGTTGGACTGGACGATGATCGAGTTCCAGGACAATCAGCCGGTGATCGACCTCGTCTCTAAGAAGCCCCGCGGCCTCCTCATCCAGCTCGAGGAGCAGGGGCTGCTTGGACGTAGGGCCAACAACAAGGCCCTCTTGCAGGTATTTGAAGTAACTTAGGGTTTCGGCGGAAGTTGGCTGTTATACCATCGAGCTGATGTCTTTTTTGTTCACAACAAACCGGTTTTCGGTGGAGTCTGACCTTCTTTTTGGAGGGGTTTGTGGAGCAACTTGTTTTGTTAGCATCCCCGGATTCGTTTGGATGGTTTGGATGTTTGGATAGTGAGCGCCCTAGAGTCGCTAGATGGATTGGGCAAGACGGGGTTGAACAGGACTAACGCGTGCGGAAGGTGTAAGCTGTTGGAGTGTTTTCTCTCGTCTGGAGTGCCACGATGACAGCGGCTCCTGCCCTCGCCTTGTAGCTAGTTGGTTTGTCGTGCCTGGAACAATACGCACGCCGCACGAATCCCGCTCTGCCTCCCGCACCTGGGTGTACCTGAATCACGGGGTCCGCCTGTCGTCCAGATCGAGTTGGTTGGGGTACGACTTTGGTGGGGGGCAGCCTCCCGTCCCCCGGGGCATGTCGGGAACCCCCCCCCACCCGACAACTTGTGATCCGCCTTTCGGTCCCTCGACCCTTGCCGACACGCAACCTTGGAATTCTTTTGATACGAATCTTTCGTCGCCTCCGACTCCATTTCTCGCGCGGTGCTCTATACCTCAACCCTCTCCTGTTGACCTCAATGCATTAGATTCGGATGCCTCCTCCCTACAATGTCCCTTTAGTCGAGTGCTCTTCCGTGTCGCGAACCTGTCTTTTTTTTTTTTTTGTCATTCGTCCGTGCTTGTCGCAGCTGTACCACAACACGCACCTGACCAAGAGCGCGTGCTACTCCAAGCCTCGCTTCGACTCGACCGAGTTCATCGTGCTGCACTTCGCGGGAGAGGTATGTATGTTTGCCATTGCATTGCTGTTATTGATGCTGGTTGTGATTGTGTGTGTGTTGCTGGGTTCGTTGCTGTTCTTGCTTGCGGTAGTTCTGGGTGCCTTCACAACGAGCATACTCCTCTGACGAAATCTTAAGAGAAAGCTGGTGTTCTTCGGGGGTTGAGCTACAATGTACGGCCAATATTTACCACGTGAGTAATCACTCCGTTCTGCTTTCATTCATGTCAATCGCTTGTTTCTCTCGCCTCTTATGCTTTTGCTGCTCAAGGGTATCCCTTCGCGGTCGCCCCGCACTGCCCCCCCCCCCCCTCGTGATGCTGATGGTCCCGTGCCGTATCGTTATTTATTTTTTCGTGTTGACGTAGGTGGTGTACGACATCGAGGGTTTCTTGGAGAAGAACAACGACTCCCTCCACGACAACCTGCTGGACCTGCTGGATACCACGGTCGACCCGTTCCTCCGCCGCGTGGTGGAGTTCGTCGATCCCGAGGCTGGAAGTGAGTCGATCACACATACCGTGTACCTTCTACCTTGTCCTACGGTAACGACTACCACTGTTTAAGACAGATTGTTTGGGAGAAAGTTGGGTTAAAGAGGGTGTTGCCTTGTTCCAACCCTCTCTTGGACCGTGGCCGCAACTGTGTGCTTGCCGGTACGTACATGCCATTTGATGTTGTTGAATCGAACCGTGTACTTCCGTTCCATCTTATTCGTTGGGTATAGCCGTGGGTGCTGTTGGTGTTTTCGGATGATGTCCCCGTGGTACGTACGTCTGCTTGGTCGGCGAGGGTGATGCCGGCGTGACTCGATGTCGAAATAGGCCCGCCCTCCCTTCCAAGGAACGTTGGGAATCGTTGGGCTAGGCAGCATCTTTTGGTTGTAGATGGTGTTGGTTGATACAGTTCCAATGGGTTGGCTTTGATTCGCGACATGGAAATTGCAGATGAAACATTGCAAGTTGGCAACAGGACACCTTCCTGCGTGTTGATGTTTATGGACGAAAGTGGAGGCGTCTCACGATACGTCCAAGTGCACGCGCTCTTCGGAGAAATATCAAACGCCTTTGTTCACACAGAAACTTCTTTCGCCCCCTTTCGCCCCCGCTCCTCGTGTGCTTTGGCGTCTATTTCTTCCTTCCCCCCTGACCCGCTCTACCTTTCTCTTGTTTCCGAACTCTCGCCCGCGCCGGTGTCGACTCTCGTGCATGCATTCCCTTCTGGCTTCTTCAACAAACAACGAAACTGGAACCGGGGGACGAGCAGTGGAGCCCGCCGCTTTCAACAGCAACGCCGCCTTTGGAAACCCCTTGTCCCCCGCCGTCTCCCCGATGCGGCAAGCAGCGACGGCGTACTCCCCGACGTCGCCGATGTCCCCGACGTCCCCCGTAAGAACGCCTCCGGCGGCGGGCGGAGTGGCGGCGGCTACCGGGCGGTCGCCGCCCCCTTGGGCCAGCGGGGGTGCCGGAGGCGGCGGTGGTAACCTGAAGACGTTTTCTTTCGAGGATCAGCGCCGGGGCGGGGGTGATTGCGGGTCGTCCCCCGGGGCTGTCGGCGGCGGATCCCCGGCTACCGCGCTCCGCTCCGTAGGCAGACAGGTTTGTTTCTTTGTCCTGTTGATACGTTGAGTCGAGGGTGAGGGAGGGCGGGGCAGGGTGCGGTATTGGAAGGATGTCGGTGGACACTATTCTCGTGATGTTTCCCATAGACTTTGGCACGATTTCGTTTTGTTGTGGGTGGGTGGGTGGGTGGGCATGTCTGTGTACCTTTATCGGAGAGGCGAAAGGCTCGTGGCGAACTCTAGGTACCCTCGAATTTTTCACCGTAGGAGGTTTGACTGCATCCCCGCGCCCCACCCTCCCTCCTGCCCTACCGTTGCTGCCCGCGAACTTGCCCGTGTGTGTGTGCCCACTTGCTTATTGACTATTTTTTTGACAGGAGAGTCGTAAGCCGCGCAATGCCGCTTCCGGCGGCGCGAGGGTGTCTCAGATGTCGTCGACCGTGACCGTGTCCAAGGCTTTCCGGGGACAGCTGCAGAACCTCATGGCCACCCTGCGCGCCACCGAGCCGCACTACATCAAGTGCATCAAGCCCAATAACGTCAAGGCCCCGGGAGGCTTCAGGTACTACTTTTCTGTTGGTGAACGTACATGTGCGAAGTGATTGCTTGTTTTTTATACTGTACAGGGACGGTGGGGGGGGGTAAGGCAAGGCAAGGAATCGGGCGGGATGGGTTGTGGGGGCAACGCGGGGTGTTCAGCAACGGCTGCGGCGATGACAATAGAAGCATGGGAGGCGCACGGTGTCCGACCAGTCTTGTGTTTGTTAGAGTCATGTGTCTCCCCTATCATCGCCCCTCACCCGAGACGCCCCGTTCACGCTGCTTCGGCCGTTTGTTGGGTTGCCGCTGGTGCTGCTGTGTGATGGTGGTGATACAGTGCGCATTTGGTGCACCAGCAGCTGAATTACTCGGGAGTGCTGGAGGTGGTCCGCATCCGCAGGGAGGTAGGTCCGCCCAAATTTATTGCTGTGAACGGAGGAATTAGAAACATTTCCCAGATCTACGTATGTTTTTGGGTCCTTGGAGTGCCGGGGGCGGAACGTATGGTGCGCGAATGGTTGAATTTTTTATTTTTTGCTGCTGTCTATCTGTGACTTGCTTTCGTGAAGTGGCTGCTTACCTCTTTGGTCTCCACCGTGTTCTGTAGGCAGCGATTCTGGGCCAATCCGAACCGCGGTCTCAATACCGTTGTTTTCACGCGGTCAGGATTTTTTGTAGTCTGGCAGTCTTGGAAGTCGTCGACCAGAGCTTCGTCGTCCGCACGTCGACGTACAACCCAGAATGACCCCCCGCGAGTGTCAAAAGCATGTAGTAGCGCCAGCCAAAACCCGCCCAAGTTGGGTCTACTCCGACGTCAGGCGTTCCCCGACCCAATACAGAACTCAGTTTTATTTTATGTATATCTCTACGAACGAACTCCTCTGGCAGGCGTACCCCGGGCGCACGCCGTTCCTGGAGTTCTTCGAGAGGTTCGAGCTGTTGCAGCGGCAGCTGACGAGGGCGTCTGTCGACGGCGGCGGGGAGGGGGGAGGCCCTTCCCTGCCTTCGGCCGCCCACGCCACCGAGGAGGAGGCTAAGGAGGGTTGCCGCACCATCCTGGAGGCCTTCTTGCCCGAGAAGTTGTACCAGATTGGGCACACGCGGGTGAGTATGGGAGAGGGTGTGTGGAGAGAGGGGAGATGTCGGGCACCGCGCGTTCGTTGAACCAGCATGTTTTTGTGCTTTTTTCTAGGGCTTGGGGAGAGTGTGCATGGAGATGGGAGGCGTGGGCCTTGTGATCAGCTTGTCTGCTTTCGTGTTCTGGGATTTGGGGAGAGTATGTATTGTAGCGGTGGGAGGCGTGGGGCTTTGGAGCAGTACGCCTCCTTTTGTTTTTGTTTGTCTGGGGGCGGGCTTGCATCGCGTTGGTGCAGAGGAGAATCGTTACGCAAGTGAGGTTCACAACGAAGTGAGTGCGGCTAGAGTCCTTTACTTTACGGGTCACAGAATTTTGAGTGTGGGAAAGCCGTGCATGGCTCACAACGCAGTCAATTTAGGGAAGAACAGTGCAAGTTTTGCGCGCTGGGTGGACTTCAGCTGTGCAGGGCAGGGAACAACCAAAATATGCATCCAAAAATGTTTTTTGTTTCGGATATGGGCTAGCGATGGTTAGAGTCAATTCTTTACTCGTCGTGAATGTTCTGCTTCTCGGTATGTACGTACGCATGTTCGGTTGAGCAATTTCTCTTCTTAACGCCCTCGCTATTTTTCTTGTCTTCGCTGCTGGTGATCTGCGGCTTCTGCGACTCCGTACTTGCGCAGGTCTTCCTGAAGGAAAAGGGCCAGGACATGCTCCGCTCGTGCATGCGGAACGTTTACCACCGCAAGGCCGCCCTCATCCAGGCGTGCGTCCGCGCGATGCAGGGGTCGATGAAGCTCAAGGAGAAGAAGGCCGCCGCCATCGTCATCCATGCCGCCGCTCGCCGTTTCGTTCTCAGGAAACGCTACAGGAGCGTGCTGTCAAAGGTGGGTGGCGGGCAGAGGGGCCATTTCTTGCTCACCTGCGGCAAAGGATGGGATTCCAGGAGCGGGAGGTTTTGTTTTTTCTTGACGGAACTAGGCTGTGGCTGTGAATGGCTTAGAGAGTCTGGAGGCGTGAACTGTGGTTGGGAGTTGGGAGTTGTAGGCTGTTGCGGTGTTTGGTTCTGAGAGTCGGGCGACGTCTAGCGCGGGGGTTGTGGTCGGGTGGAGGTGACGCCGGAAGGCGTGGTTGTTCCTCTGCCTCGATGCCATCACTACCTTAAGCTACATTTTGCTATGCGCTTGATATTGGTGTTGGTTGCCCCGCCGCAGATGTTGCTGCTGAAGTCGTGTGTCTCGTCTCGTACTCGCTTGACTTGCTAATTCTTTGCTTCGCTTAACGCCCCGCCGCAGGTGTTGCTACTGCAGCGCTGGTACCGAAGCCGGATGATCCGGCATAAGTACAAGGGCTGCATCGCCTCGGCCGTTCTTATCCAGAAGCGGGTCCGCGGCATGCAGGCCCGGGAGTTCCGCCTGCTCCAAGAGGTTGCCGCGATCACCATCCAGAGGTGTGTAATCGCCGGTGTACGCTACAGCAGCCGTGGCGAGGATGTTTATCTTGGTTTTAGTAGGCGGTGGGGTTGGGGATAGGCCCTCTCTCTCTTTCATCGAATAAAAATATTTTCCTCTCGAAGGCGGTCAATACGAGAGGAGAGAAGGGAGGGGTGTGGCGTGGTTGCTGTTGTCGGAGTTTGTTGTTGTTGTTGTAGGAATTGTCGGAGGAACGGCAGCTGCGGGAGTGGTGACTACTAGACAATAGCATCACGTCGCGGTTTTCTGCACAAAACATTGGTCGAGATGCATTCCGCTCGCGCGGGCGAGCAGTGATCCGCTCAAGGAGAAACCTTTTTTTGTCACTGTTGATGTGAACGTCCCATGAGACCACTTACCGTATCCCAAACGGAAGATGCGAACCTTAAACGGAACCATGCGAACGCCCAAACCAGCGACGCTCGAGCCTCCTGTTAAGGTGTCCGGATTGCATTTGTCATCATCGCGCTCAACCTACTCACCCTTCCCGCGCTTGCTTTTGATCGGCTAAACAGGCACGCCCGCGGCATGGAGGGGAGAAGGTATGCCGGCCTGATGCTGATGGAGCTGTGGATGGAGGAGGAAGAGAACAAGAGGAAGGCCGAGGAGTTCAGGATAAGGAGGCAAGTTTTGTCACGTCATTGGGGTGAGGTAGTGAGTGGATGAGCGTATTGGGGCAGCCTAATCGTAAACATTTGGCCCCAAGTTGATGAAGGTACGACAGCAAAACTGATATCAACAACACCAGCGTCTAGCCGGGTCGCCCCGGTGTATCCCCGAGACCTTGTCGAGGTCAGGTCAGGGGTTCGAATCCCGGCGTAAGCGAGTTTTCTTGCAAAGTTCGTTTTTCTCTCGCTTCCGCTTCTGCTCTGGTAGTGGATAGCGCTAGTTCGTGTGTACACAGAGGGAAGAGAGTGCTGAACTCTTCTCCATTAAAATTCGAAGGCAAAGTACCGCAGGAGGGGAGGGTCGAGAGGGGCTCTTCTGTGTGACCACGGGTTGGAGTAAACGGCACTGGTGTTGTGAGCGCTGATTTGAAGTAAAGACAAAGAAAAAGAAGAAAGAAGAAGAAAAAGCCGCACCCACTTGCGGTGGCCAACAAAAAATAGACCAAGACGTTGCTGGTGGTGCTATGTTGAGTTCCTACACTTTTCTCCGGTTGTCCTCTCCCTTTAGTTACTTCATCCCGCCATTCTTCTACCTCACGTCGGTACCCCCCCCCCACTGTCCAACCTTCTCTCTGCTACCCCCCCCAATCCATTTCACCTCTCTCTCTCTCTCTCTCTCTCTGTTGTATGGTTGTCCCCCTACCAGGGCGGCGGCCATAATCCGCTCCTGGGTGCGGCGGATGGTGCAGAAGTACGGCGTCAAGGCGCAAAGGGTGGCGGCCGCCCGGATCCAGCGGGCTTGGCTTCGCCGCGCTCGCAACCTCTGGCTGGAGGAGAGGGTGGGACGTGTCTTCGCCATCGCTCGGTCTGGAGATGTGGACGGGATGATGCGCGAGCTTCGGCACAACCCGGACGTGCTGTTCATGCGCGACAGGTGAGAAAGGGGGCGGGGTGAAAATGGGACGGAAGGGGGTGATAATGTGACGGGGGCGGGATATAACGGGCGCAGGGTGATACGGGTGGTTGTCGGCAACGGACCGTGAGTGAAGGAATGAGCGACCTAAACGCCTTGGGTGTTTTCTGTAGGGTGTACACCTTGTATGAGTGCCGTGTGTGTTGTTGTTGTTGTTGTTGTTGTGTGTGTTCTGTTGTCTTAAGTGTCACGCCCATGTACAGCCATTACCCCGAAGACGTCGAGCACGCCTCCTACCTTCAGACCTTCACGGCGTTCCGCTTCCCACTCCGCCTCGTAATCGTATGCACGACACACACACACACACACACACACCATTTTTTCGACGTCCCTCCGCCGTCCTTACCCTCTCCGCAATTTGTTCATGTTTCTGTCCAATAATATTTTGTTTACCTCATCCCCCTCCCCCGCGGGCAGGCACGACCGTTTCAAGACGCTGCTGCACCTCGCCGCGACCAGCGGCAGCACCTCCCTCCTGTCTCTGCTCGACCCCCTCCCCGAAGACGTCCTCGTTCTTGACAGCGACGGCTGCACCCCCCTGCACCACGCCGCCGCGTCTAGCAAGTACGACGTCGTCAAGTTCCTCGCCTCCAGAGCCAACGGGAGGGTGAGTCACGGTATGAGAATAACAAGAGTTTGGTCCAAGGATGTTACAATATATATGTCGAAGGGGTGGTCTAGGTAAGGCGTGTCGTTGCCACGGTGCGGATGTATTTGTTTCCGGCAACGCTGTTGAGGATGGGCAGAGGGTTGTTGGGCTACGCCCATTCGCTCTGCTTTTGTCTTTCGTTTTTTCGTCGACCTCTGCTGTTGGTTTGCTTTGAGGTGCGTGTTGCTTGCTCCCTGGAACTAGCTGCTGCTGCTGCGTGAGATGACGGGGTGGGCGTTGGGGTGTGTGGACGGAGACAGGGAGGCGTGGCTGTGCCGTGTGAATGTACCGTACGTCTTGTTTTTTTTTGTTGTTGTGATGTTTTTGAGTCTGTTGGCGCACTTTTTTGGTTCCCTGGTACTGCAGGTGCACGCTCCGGCGCGTATCAAGACGGACTCGGTGGACGCCTTCATGCAGGAGACGCGCGCCACGAAGCGCATTAGCATGCGAATCATCCAGGTTGGTTGTTTTCCACATGAAGCTCCGACGGCCGTATGACGTTTGTGGTTTTTACGTCTTGATGGCTCGTGTTCGCGAGACTCACTCGCCTTCCCCGTATCTCTAGTGTTGGGCGGTGGACGAGCAGGATTTACGTTGTGTGTACTTGCGTTCTCTCCTCATGGCCCCATTACCTACCTTGTCTACCTTCTTTTATTGTTTCGCAAGAGACAGGGGGTGCCCGATTCGCGCCGTGTTGTCGCGACGGTTCGGAGCGCCGCGTCACCCGCGGTGGAAAGCAGCGACACGCTCCATCTTCATACGCATACTCCCCGTACCTGACTTTTCTGTTTTCTCTTGTGGTCGACTCCCTCGTGTGTGTGTGTGTATGCCTTTAGTAATAGCATCGACCGCGCTAACCGGCTGAATAATGAAATGATTTCAGTATCAGTGCGGTTGAAAACGCAAAACACTTCTGAATTCCATTAACTGGGACCCCGTGTGTGTGTGTGTGACTTCGGGGGGGGGGGACGGGCGTGCGCTCACTCTGCAGGAGGCGCGCCAGAGGGCGGGGGTGACCACCGTGAGGACCGGGGGTGTGCTGGGGACGCTGGCGGGAGGCGCGGCGGCCGTTCGCGGCCTGGCTTCGAAGGCCATGGACACCTCTATGCCTGCCATGACGACCAGCAAGCCGGTGTTCCAGGTGGGCTTCTACTTAGCGTCTGCTGCAGCTGTTGTTGTGCTTGGGCGGGGGGAAGGGGGGGGTCGTCTTTGTTGTCGGCGTTTTGTTCTGCTAGGTGCTGTCGATAAAAGGTGGTGGTTCCTTGTTGTGAGCTGCTTGGTGTTGTTGATAAGTTGGTGTACCGTTTTTATGAATTGCTTGGTAACTTGTTTTGTGTTGTCGTGGTGTAGATTTTTAAGCTCATACTGCTGTGCAGTAGGTATTTTTTTGGGGCTCAAAAAGGTGATTGCGTGTTTTCCGTGCCTGCCGCTGGTGCGCCGATGCTTGCAGCTGCTTGACATTCTAGTGCTCACATCGACTACGTTGCCTTATAATACCCCACTGCCTTTTGGGTTTGTTTGCAGAGCTGTCGGTGTTTTTTTCGCGGCGAAACGGCGTGGAGTGTTATTGTTTGTGTTGCCGTGGGTAATACAGGAAAACAGGTACACCTATTTTCGCACGATCTGTAGACTGGAAGCCGAGTGCCCGACCGCCTTAAGTTTCACTCGATTTTGTCTATATACTCACTTGCTCCCTCCAACCGCTCCGCCGCCTCCGGGGTCTTGCGACTAACGCTGCACTGTCTTTCTTTGTCTTGATGATTGATGATTGCTGGTTACTTGGTTGCGACACCAAAGGGTTTCCTGATGAAGAGGCGGGAGACGGGCAACTGGCAGAGGCGGTGGTGTGTTTTAACGGAGAGAGACATGGAATACTACCACTCCCGTCAGGTATGATACGGTACATTTTAGTCCTTTTCTGTTTCCGTCTGGTTTCTAGAGTTGTTGGCTCCTTTGGGGTTGCTGGTAGAATAGCGTGCCTGTGCCCGGGGAAGGTGTCCGCGTCAGTTGCACCGCTACGGATACTGGGAGGTACTGAGCAGAAAACGGAGCGGATTTTGTGAAGTCAACAACGACAGCAACAATTTGCCACGGAAAGTGTCCCGTCTGTTGGAGCGGTACGGAGGCCTGAAGGTGCTGAGCTGAGATCAGAACGTGTTTTTTTAGTGGAGAACAGCCACGTATTGTAGTACACATGCAACCTTTTTTCCGTTTTCAGTGGCAAGGAGACTCGCGTCTCTTCATTGGCCAGCCGGTTTATGTAGCGCGTTCGATGCTTTTTCTAAAAACACGCCGCACACACACACACACACACCCGACCAGGACCACGTGAAGGGCAAGCGGCCGGCCAAGAGCGTGTCCCTCGCTTCCGCCCTCCTCAAGAAGAGCGGCCCGCCGCCGGCCCTGCCCCCTCGGCCGGGCGCAGAGCCGAGCGGCGGCGGCGGCGGGATTGGTGTCGGTTCGCTCGGCCTCGGCCCCACCAGCATCAGCGGCGGCTTCGGCAGCAACGGCAGCAGCGGGACCGGGGGCTTCGGCAGCAACGGCAGCAGCGGTGGGCCTAGGGCGGCGTTTCCCCCTGTGTCGCCCCGTGTGGGGCCGGGAGCGGCGGTTGGGGCCAAGGGGAGGGGAAAGGGGAAGTCGGCGCCTGACCTGGCTCACTGCTTCGAGCTGCACTCGGGGAAGCTGCTGGGGGACAAGCGCAACCGTGAGGGGCGTCTGTACTTCAAGGTGGGGAGGTGGTGTTTTTTTGTTGTTGTGTGGTGTTTGGCGGTCGCTCTCTTGGCATTGTTGTTGTCGTTGCATGCTGGTGGCGGTAGCTCGTCACTTGACTTGAGTTGGAAAACCCCTAGTCCCTTGGTAGAATTCAAGGAACATACATGGTACACCACAGACGCGTGCCTTCCAAGAATGAAATCAGCCTACAGCAGTATTCCTGCGGAAATGGGTGTTTTCTCGTGTTTTCCGTTCAGGTGCTCTGCCTTTGAGTGGGGTACCTACAGTGCTAGTGCTGTCGTCATGGTGTGGTCCTATATTTGTAGGCCGATTGGCTTCAATGATTGCTCTCTTCGATCAGCGTATTAGTTCTTTTTCTAGAGAATCCAAAGGATGTTCGTGGTTGGTGTGCCATACGCGTATTAGTAGGTGGAGATGTTTTTTTTTGCGTGACGGACGCACTGCACTGTGTGACTTGTGTTACCAATGCGGTCATTTCTTTTATCTTCTTTTCTTTTTCTTGTCGTGACTGCTCGTTGTGCCGCTGTGCCACTCGTCAGGCGTTGAGCGAGGAGGAGCTGTACTCGTGGATGGTTCCTCTCAGGGTGCTGGTCGGCAGCCACAACTTGGTCCGGACCGGGGCCGCGGGTTCGATGTGCTACGTCGACGTCGCCCGGAGGGTGGAGCTCGTCAACATGCGCAACAGGTCGGTCTACTGGATGCCGTTTGTCGTCCGACTGCCTCTCTTGCGGCGAGACTGCCAGAGAGTATAAACGGTTCTTTGATGAAACCGTTGTGTATTTGATGATGGCTGGCGTTACGTAGGGGGTGGTGTTTTTCGGGAGGGTTTTTCGTTGGTTTGTGGTCATGATGGCGGTGTCTGGACTCCCGCTGTGCGGTGTATCCAGTGTGTAAACATGCATGCCTCCATGGGTTCAGTTTGTCGTATCAGCTGTTTTTTTTCATTGAAAGGCGCCTGTGCTCGGCACTGCTGCGCCATGGTGTTGGAGTTGATGCTACGGAGATGCTTGCTTTCGTCCCCCTGTCTCGCACATTAAGGCGCCGTGACGAGGGTTTCAATGCCACCGCCGTCTATGATGCATCTGTTCTGCCGCTGAACCAGAACATATTCCTCGGCTCTTTTTTTTTCCTTTCCGAACATTCGGTGCTTGACTGCAAAAAACCTGCGGTGCGGTGGTTTTCAGGGCGGGCGAGACGCCCCTGCACTACTCGGCGAAGGGCGAGGGCAAGGCGGAGAGGGACGCCATTGGCAGGGTGCAGATCGCCACTTGGCTGGTGAGTCGGACCCCGGTCGCCCGACCATGAACCCATGTTTGTTCTGTGGTTCGGCGGCGTTGGGATTGCGGTTATACTTAAAATACGAAGTATGTGCTCTAGGTGTTTCTTTCCATCCGCACGCGCTCGATCGGCCTCCAGCTCAGCAGTGGGAGCGAGGGGTGTTTTGGGTCGACGTATCGTGTGACTGAAGCATTGCTTCGGTTGGGTTGCGTCGCAACTTTGGGGTGGTGCGACCGGGGTGTGAGTTGATCGTCGCGTGGGATGAGTCGCTTGTCGATACCGGTCGATCTACGACCAGACATGGCCGCAACCCTCGTTCTACTTTTCGTTCATTTCATATGTTTGGTGCTCCATCCTCCACCCCCGGCGCAAGACGTGACGCATGTCTCCCTTTGTTCATTCTACAGTAGTCACTCTCTGCTGCCATCAATACGTATATGGTAGTAACAAAGAGATGAAAGCATTCCCGGAATTGAATAGGCACACACGCACATGAATAATCCACTGATGTACATGCTGTGAAGCAACAATGTATTGATGGCGTCAATTGTGAAACGGAATGCAACAATAAACAATTGCAGGTCGAGAACGGTTCGGAGGTGAACGCGGCAGACAAGGGCGGCTCGACCGCCCTCCACGTGGCCGTCCGTCGTGGACACGTCCCCCTCGCGGCTGCCCTAGTGAGGCGAGGCGGAGACCTTACCGTGGTGGACAGGCACGGCCGTAGCCCCCTGGAGCTTGTGAATCGCGACCAGGACGTGGAGGACATCGCCGTGGGGCACTTCAAGGCCGCGGAGAGGAGCCCGATGCTGGTGAGAGGGGGGGGGGGGTACTTTGTCCTGTTTTGCATGCCTTAGCAGCTACCATATTGTACGATTCGTAGTAATAGGGGGGGGGGGGAGGCTATTGCGTTTTTGTGCGCGTCGGGCGCACTCGTGCTGGCGAAGGGGTGTTTTTTTATGGGGTACTGTACTCTCGTGTTTTGCGATGTCTTGGCTGCTATGTTAGACTATTCGGCTTTCTGTGGGGTGCGCTTTTCTTTGCGCGTTGGACGCAGCCATTCCATTTCTGCATGATGTGTACCCTGGGCAGCGAGGAACTCTTCGGGATTTCATCCACCGGGAGGCTGATGGGCGGGGCGGGGATCTAAATTTGGCGAGAGCGGTTTGAAAATCGTGTCGGTGGGGGGAGAGGGCGTGCCGCGTCAAAGATCCAGATGTTGTCGGTTCAAGGAAGGGTGTTTACGACGGGGAGAGGAAGCGCGTGGTTTTTGACGCTGTATGTACAACGCCGGCGTGACAGCTTAGCTTCGCCTCCAATTTCGCTTTGCAGTTGTTGGCACCCCCCGTTCGGCGACGTGTCGGTGACTGCTGTGTCAAGGGAGGACGTCTGCTACTCTCTGAGGCGGACTGTCGTGTTTTTGTGTGTTGTGTTGACCCACTGCTGTCCCTACGAAGGCGGCCCGCCGCCCTCGAAGTGTGTCGCCGCTGCGGTACCCCCTCCGGGTGGTTTGCTTCTTGTCGTCGTGTCGTCATGTCGTGATGCGTCCACCCCTGCTGGGCGGCTGCTGTATCTTTGCCGCTACCTCCATTCGAGTTTTTTGCTCTCACCCGCTTGTTCTTGCTGCTGCCGCTGAGAAAGTTATAATATAGAAACCGTTGCTCAATATGTTTTTTTTTTTTTTTCGTGCTCCTGTTGTCCATCTTTCTGTTCCGGTTTGTTCCAAAGGCCCCTCCCGTGAAGCTGTCGTCGCTCACGTACCTGTCTTTCCACCTGGAGAGGCTGGTGATGCACAGCACGGCCGACCTCCAGTCGCCCTTCATCACTGTCTCCGTGCACGACTCGAGGGGACGCAGGGTGAGAGATGGAGCTGGTACTGCTGCTGCTGTACTGCCGTCGTTTTAGCTATATATAATAGCTGTCCATCACTGCTGTTGCGGAAGGGAAGTAGAGTGGAGTGAAGTACGGCGGCATCCTACCGTAAGCCCTTCCTTGTCGCCGCCCCTCCCCCTCTTTCCTTTCGCCGCCGCCTCCAACAACCCACAATTTCGCACCAACCAACACCGACTACCAGAAACCACAAACACCGAAAGATCAATCGAAATTCCAACACCCACCCACCCGTCCAACATGAAACGGCAAAGATGGCGAAGAAAACACAAACAAACCATCTCTGTATGTTTTTTTGAGCCCAATCGATACCAATCAACCCAATTCAACGCGGTGGTGGTTTCGCCAGGTGGAGGCCGCCCAGGACGCGAGCGCGCCGGTGGTCCGCCGCCCGAGCTACCTGTGGTGGTCCACCTCCTACCACATGCAGAACCCGGTCGAGAACCTCGAGCCCGGCACGCGGCTGGTGTTCACCGTGAAGGACCAGAGCACGGAGGTGGTGTCGACCGGGCGGCGGGGGGTCGCGGGGAGCGGGGACGTGCGGGAGCTGGGGTGGGGCATGATCCACGTGAACAAGAGCACCATGAGCTCCCAGGTGGGGGCGTGTTTTGGGTTGCTGGGGGAGGGGGAGGGGGGGGGGGCAAGTGGACGGGGATGGCGAGGGGGAGGGGCGACTCACGTAAATTGTGAACGTGTCTTTGGTGTCCATTTGATGATGCCGTCTTCGAGAGACCGGGCATACATTTTTTTATTGCTTTTTGCGGGTGTGTGCGGTTAGCGGATGGTGTGCGTCGCGTCAGCGAGGTTGACCGTCAACTGAACCAAAATAGTGCACCGTGGACAAGTCATCATCATCGTATCTTTGACGCACGTTGTTGGGAGGCGGATCTGAGCGACGGTGTGCTGCTACGAGGCTATTTGGAATGAACGGATCATGTCGCGGAAGACGTGGCTCTATTGTTACTGCTGACTGGGAGGGAGCGAGGGTCTTTCTCTGCCGTGCTTTGTGCAGGGGGTTTATCGATAGTGGAGTGTTATACACTCCTTCACGTAGCAGATATCTTCTTGGCCTTGTCGGCATCAAGTTGCAAGATCACAAGTACCGGCCGAAGATCGACCGCCTGGTGCGGTGCTCGTGACGATTTTGCTCCCGCCACGTCGTATCCCTATTGAAATCCCGCACCCACCACGGTCTTACATATTCCAGTATTGCTTACTTTGCGTCGCTGCTGTTTGCTTTTCGGTGCTCATGAAAAACACAAGAAACACGCGTGCACAAAGTGACCGTCTTTGAGATGGTTGTTCTTGGTCTTTTTCGAGCGTCATCTCCTTCCCCCCCGCCCTCGATGTTCGCAGGAGGTGAGCATGGAGATGTACCAAGCCCCGGTGGATCTGTCGCAGAAGGCTCTCGTTCCCATCGATCTCTTCTTATCGGGTGAGTGAAAACACTTTGGTACATGGGAGAGATCTACACAGCTTGTTCGTAAATAATTGCATAGGGCGTCCCCGTTCATGCGTTTGGAGGCCCTCGTTTGAGGTAAGCTAGAGGTTAACTACGCGACGCTTGGTGTATAGAATACATACTCTGCTGTTTCGGGAACAATGTCGTGCGCAGTTTTCTACCGTGGTGGTTCGTCCCCCGTTGCTGCAGCGGTTGAGCTATTGTGTGGGCTTCACGGCGGAATCATTGGATGCCCTGGGCTGGGAATTTCACGGGCCGGTTGTACGTGGTTGTTGTCGGAGTGAGCGAGAGCGAAAGACACAGGGATACGATTCCGTGCACCTTTGTCGCCGCGTACGCCGGTGAAGTCACGTTGCCTCCGAGGCTGTAGTTGCAACTGCAGGCCTCGTCGAGGCGTGGCATGTGTTGATGTGTTGATCTCCTGCGGTTTTCTCGCCTTCGCCCTGCCAACGCCTTCTCGACCATCTCCATCCCTCTGTTTGGTGCTTTTCGAGCCGGTAACACTGTCACTCTCCCCCGACCTCCTATATTTGCATGGGGCTTGCCTCATTCGTGGTCCAGTAGTTGGTGTTATCCTGGCGATACTTGGTTCACGAAGTTGCCGCTGGCCAAAGAAGCTCTTGTATTCCATATCCCCTACCGGCACACTTGCTTCCGCACGTCCGTTGTCCTTACTTCGTCTATTTTCGGGCGATTCCTCTGCCTACGCGTCGCACTGTCATGTATATTCCGCAGGCTACGTTACCCTGACAACCGCCCAAGTCGACATGGACGCCGCAGCAGCACGGCAGTCGTGACCTTTGGCGTGAAGCATGACGAGGTTTTCCAACGAATGGGCGGGCGTGCAGAATGGACTGGATGGGGCGCCGTATTGCCCAAGAGGAGAGATATTGTTATGTTGCACGTGTTCTTGCTTGCTTGCATGTTCAGGTATTGGTCAATTATTCCACTGAGAGAGGGGGGCATTTTGTTGTTTGTGCCTAAGTGGGCATCGGTGCGTTACGTTTTGGGCTCGGTTCTTGGGGTTTTGGGCCAAAGAGGTCGCGTGCGTGTTTTTTTTTCCCCTTTCGTTGCTGGTGTATTCGGTGCCTTTGGTCCTGGTGGTGGCGTGCATTTTATTTCTTCTGAATTTCATAGCGTCAGTCACGTTTTAGGCCTTGGGGCTACGCGACAGAGGCTACGCCACTCGTCGATGATTTCGGCATTTTTTATTTTGGTGGCTTCCCTCGTCCTTTTTTTGTGTTGCCCCGGCTTTTCGCTCGATGTTCCCTTTTGTGAATTGCGTGTTTTGTCACTTTCTTTTTTTAATGTGTTTTTGGTGTCATGCTTTTGGCTATTATCCCTGACTGAGCACAGTGTCATTTCGTGGTTTTCGTGGAGAAAAAAACACGCATGATAGTGTACTTTATTATCTTTCCAGGGGGGGTGATGCCGAGGGCTTTCATTTGTCGCTTTGTTTGGTTCCCCCCTCAAGAGAGTCTTTGCCAGGGTATGCTTACGAGGTGTGCGAGAAGGAGAAGAAGATGCACTAATTTTCCGGGAACGTTTTCTTTTCAACCCGGGAAAGATGGAGAGAGGAGTTGGTACTTGGGGAACTTTCCTCTTGCATGTGGAGACTATTTTGGTCGGTCGGGTGTGTTGTTATGTTATGGGAGGGACACTGCGAGCCGAGCCGTTCTCTGTTGAGCGCTATAAACAGTTTCCTGTTGTCGGTCACCCAAGGAAAAGCGAGAGAACAAGGGGAGATGAAGGGGGGCTGTCCCGTGCAGACATGTCTGTTGCCGGCGAGCATGCTGGTGCTGTTCTCTCTCGCTGTGCAGCACGATGGCGCAGCTGGTGCTCCGATTGGTAAACAAATGACGCGTAGCTGCCTACACCTCATGTGTTGCATGGAGGCTCGCGAAACAGAGGGATATTATTTCAGCATGTGCACGTCCGAGCACGATAGGCTGTGTGGGCGATCGCCCCAGCCCATCGCTCAGGGAAGGAGGAGGTCACGCAGAATGGAATGAAACGGTATGATAGGAGGGTTACGGGCACGCAGGGATCGGGATGTTGGGAGGGGGGGGCACGGGTAGGAAATTATCGATGCTGCCTTCCCTGGCCAATGATGATGTGATTTTGGGTGTGGTGTTGGTCGCTAACCACTAGTAGTACGGTAGAGCATCGGAACCGATTCATATCTATGTTGGATGATTCTTGTGACACTGCACTCGCTTTGTATTTCTGTATTTCTCGTCGCGTACCTCGTCGGTCCATTCTTGGAAGAATTTCTGTCCATGCATATACATGTCGAAGCGATCTGTTGAGACTTGGGGTGGAGGGGTGCACAGCATCATCTGTATGTAGTGCATAAGCAGCAAGTTTTACTGCATTTTTTCTGTTTGACGAAGAAGTTGCACGAGTGACGGTTGCAGTAGCAGTATTGGTGCACCGATCGAATATTGTTTTTCAGGTGGGGTGCAAGTGGTGCTGCGGGGGTTGTCGTGAAAGCGCCAAGCAATGGGTGTGGGGTGTATTGATATATCGAGTAGACGGACGGCATTGGACGCCGGAGCCAAGGCCTTGCACCACACCAGGTATACACGTGCACGCGTATGAATTTTACCTATGCACCCACGATTTTTGCTGATGTGTGTGCGGCATTCACACTTGCTTTTAATTGTAGCCCTGCTGGATAAGTAATATATGATGAAGTGCACGCTGCCACGAAGCGACTTAGCCTAGATACCCACTTCCGCCGCTCCACCGGCACGCAGGAGCGTTTTTCGCGACGGACTACATCACGTTTTTGAAAACCAACTACAGTACTGAATCCCATCCATCACGTTCATTCTGTTGCGTAGTGGTTGAAATGGCCACAGCGCGCGCTTGTTGTGAGTGATACAATGATGTTTTCCTCTTCACTTGAGCTGCATATGCAGACATTGATGTTCATGCAGACAGTAAGTACGACCCAACCCAAGCTTGTCGCAAGGAGCGGGACGATTGCTCATATGGCTATCAATGTCCTTGCCAATTGTTCATGCAGAAGTCAAACAACGGCGAGGAGTCAGTGTTCCAGCGTATGTAGTATTTGGCGCCAGGGACAAGGATCCCGTGTGTGCATGTCGTTCTCAGACGCTGAACTGGAGCCCTTCGCTGCCGGTGTCCATGCCGCACTGAACAATCCATCAATGAATGCAGCGACGCTCCGCTGGCGTTATACTTTTGTTGGTGTGTCATCCATGCTGTGCTCGAATACGGAGTGTGTCTCGGGTTTCGGTTGCCATCATTTCGTTGGAGCTGGAAGATTCATGTATTGATGTCCTTGGAACAGAAGGCGATTTCTGGGAAGAATTGGATTGAAGGGTAGTATATTTTTTTCGCAGAGCAGGGAATATTTTAGAGAGTTTGGTTACCATTTGCAGAAAAAACTAGCCGCGGCAGGGGATACACCCCGGGCTTGTATGAAGCGGAGGGGGGAAATGGGCGTCGACCAATACGTTAGTCTTAGTTGACGCTGATTACAAGCGCGTATCCGGGGGAGGCGAGTTTTGACCATGTTGGCCCTGCTGTATCGTTTACCTATTTTTTCCCGGAGGCCAATGTCAATCCTTCCCCCCGTCCCTCAGAAGACTAGGGCTAATGAAGGCAATCTCCCCCTTCCCAAACGCCAACTGTTGGTAGACGTTTTGTCCCCCTCTCTGTCCCGGCGAGGAAAAATAACCATCGACGCTTCAGGCTGACCCATGGTCCACCCCTGGGTATGGTAATTGGCAATCTCAACATCGTTGAATCAGTCATCTCGATCGCCGCACCATGTCACAGTCTCTCTCTAGCTTCGGTTGCTTCCTGTACATTCTGGACGTTCTTCGTGGCAGCTGGGAACTCTATTCGACTGGGACCATGGCGGTGAACACAATATTTCCTGTACTGAGTCCATCACGTACACGGGCAGTTCTGTTTACACGTTTTTGAAGTGAATGGAAATTCGGTCGACTTTGCCCAATGTCCTTACCCATGGCGTTCTAAGTCGATTGGATTTGTTTATAAAAATTCATGCCGTTCAATTCCCTCCACGGTGTTTGTATCTTGACGCCTCGGGATGTATCGTGTTTGGATGTCAGCCCCGCAACAGCGTCATCCAAGCGCCAACGGAATACCTCCCTACCAGAAACAATGGGCGGTGGGACGGCGGCAGCACACACGGCGGTGAGTAATGTGGAAGGCTCATTCCTCTCGCGTTTTAATCGCGAATATGTCATGATTATGTGGTTGACCAGTGCATGCGTTGCTCGTGCTGGTTTGCCGCGTCAGTCGCTCCTGCTTTCCGACCAGCTGGTGGGTGGTGCCGGTTCGGGATGATTGCTCCTGCGCACCTTATCAGTAGTGCACAGCTGGCGGAATCGAGCACCGGCGAAAGTGCTAAATATCTAGACGCTGAGAGGAAATCGTCATCGCAACTCTAGCAAGTCTACACTCGTGTAGGTTGAGCTGCTTCCGACTATCCGTACAACTGCTCTGGAATTATGGGGTTTTGAGGGTGTCTGAGGAAGGGTAGCGGGAATGCTCGCCGCCGACTTTGCGACGCGCCTTTTCACTGATGGTAGCCGAGAAGCCACACAGGTGTGTTACAAGTGGAGTTGAATATGGGAAGCAAGGTCTCCCGAACTCATCATACCGTCTTTCTAATATACGATGAAAGGTGGAAACCTTCGGTTAGAAACCAAAAGGTCGGAGGTAGTGTGAGAGGCGAACGACTGCGCAGCACACTAAGAGTAGCTGACGACGAAGATGTTCAGTCAATGGCTTTGTCGATGGCGCTCCGAGTGAGAGGCAACCAACTAATTTCACCTCGAAACTTCCTTCCATGAGGTTGAAAAATTAGAGCATGGACGTGTCGAAAAGCAGAGGGCACATGGTATTGGTGGTGGAATATCGATGGCTGCTTCTACCCCGGCAACAAGCACAGAGTACATTTTGAACAATCTAGAATGGAGGTAAGGAGGTCTTTAGGCGGTGTCGTGTGAGTTCATTGAATGGTCTCAGACTTCTCCCCGATGTCGCTCTCCTCGTTGCTGAGATGCTGACCTGTTTTGCACTCTGGAATGTGGGTTCTGCTCAATCGCGTTTGGCACCGTGCTTTTCAACAGTCATGGCGTACGACCGCCAGACATCATGGCCGGCGACGACGATGCTGCCAGGAGCACGGCTGTACAACACACCCATCGTACGGCCAAGACCATAGCAAGAATGCGCAGTTCTGCTCCCAGCACAAGAATTCAGGGATGACAAACGTGATGGACAAGAAGTGCGGCCACACAGGCTGCACGAAGAAGCCTTCGTATGGAAATGACGGCAGCAAGAAGGCGGAGTTCTGTGTCCAGCTCGCGCTACAGGGCATGGTTGATGTCGTCAGGAAGAGGTGCGGCCATCCAGAGTGCATGAAGTTGTCTTCATATGGCAAAGACGGCAGCAAGAAGGCGGAGTTCTGTGTCCAGCACGCGCTACAGGGCATGGTCGATGTCGTCAGCAAGAGGTGCGGCCATCCAGGTTGTACGAAGAGGCCTTCGTATGGAAAATGCGGCGGCAAGAAGGCGGAGTTCTGTGCCCAGCACGCGCTACAGGGCATGGTCAATGTTGCCAGCAAGAGGTGCGACCATCCAGGTTGCACGAAGAAGCCTTCGTATGGAAAATGCGGCAGCAAGAAGGCGGAGTTCTGTGCCCAGCACGCGCTACAGGGCATGGTCGATGTCGTCAGCAAGAGGTGCGGCCATCCAGGTTGCACAAAGCGGCCGTCGTATGGAAATGACGGCAGCAAGAAGGCGGAGTTCTGTGCCCAGCACGCGCTACAGGGCATGGTCGATGTCGTCAGCAAGAGGTGTGGCCATCCAGAGTGCATGAAGTTTTCTTCATATGGCAAAGACGGCAGCAAGAAGGCGGAGTTAGTTCTGTGTCCAGCACGCGCTACAGGGCATGGTCAATGTTGCCAGCAAGAGGTGCGGCCATCCAGGTTGCACGAAGCGGCCGTCGTATGGAAAATGCGGCGGCAACAAGGCGGAGTTCTGTGCTCGGCACGCGCTACAGGGCATGGTCAGTGTTGCCAGGAAGAGGTGCGACCATCCGGGTTGCATGAAGAAGCCTTCGTATGGAAAATGCGGCAGCAACAAGGCGGAGTTCTGCGCCCAGCACGCGCTACAGGGTATGGTCAATGTTGCCAGGAAGAGGTGCGGCCATCCAGGTTGCACGAAGAAGCCTTCGTATGGAAAATGCGGCAGCAAGAAGGCGGAGTTCTGTGCCCAGCACGCGCTACAGGGCATGGTCGATGTCGTCAGGAAGAGGTGCGGCCATCCAGGTTGCACGAAGAGGCGTTCGTATGGAAAATGCGGCGGCAACAACGCGGAGTTCTGCTTTCAACACGCACATCAGGGCATGGTCAATGTTGCCAGGAAGAGGTGTGGCCATCCAGGTTGCACGAAGCGGCCTTCGTATGGAAAATGCGGCAGCAAGAAGGCGGAGTTCTGCTTTCAACACGTGCAGCAGGGCATGGTCAATGTTGTCAGGAAGAGGTGCGGCCATTGAGGTTGCACAAAGGAGCCTTAATATGGAAAAGACAGCAGCGAGAAGACGGAGTTCTGCTTTCAACACGTGCAACCGGGCATGGTCAATGTTGTCAGGAAGAGGTGCGGCCACCCAGGTTGCGCGAAGCGGCCGTCGTATGGAAAAAACAGCAGCAAGAAGGGTGAGTTCTGTGCCAAGCACGCACATCAGGACATGGTCAATGTTAAACAGAAGAGGTGCAGTCATCCAGAGTGCATGAAGAAGCCGGCGTATGGAAAAGACGGCAGCAAGAATGCGGAGTTCTGTATCCAGCACGCACACCAGGACATGGCCAATGTTGTCCGCAGACGGTGCGGCCATCCAGAGTGCACGAAGAAGCCATCCAGGTTGCATGAAGTTGTCTTCATATGGCAAAGACGACAGCAAGACGGCGGAGTTCTGTGCCCGGCACGCGCAACAGGGAATGGTCGATGTAAATAATAAGAGGTGCAGTCATCCAGGTTGCGCGAAACGTCCGTCGTTTGGAAAAGACGGCAGCAAGATGGCGGAGTTCTGCCGGCAGCACGCGCAACAGGGCATGGTCGATGTTGCAAGCAAGAGGTGCGACCATCCAGGTTGTACGAAGCAGCCGTCGTATGGAAAAAACGGCAGTAAGAATGCGGAGTTCTGTGTCCAGCACAGCGACGGGGGAATGATTAATGTCCGACGTGGTAAACTCCGGTAGCAGCACTAAGACGTACTGCCGCACGTGTGGTCTCGTACCGTTCCGGACGATCGTTGGTAGGTTGACCTCGCTACGTATGCGCTAGATACATGGCTTTTTTTTTTGGCAAAGGGAAATTTGGACATCGCCGGCCAGTCTTGACCAACACTGTCTTCCACGCGCATGGGGCGTGAGTGCATGTTATTTTGCTTTTCGTTTCGTCGGCCTGTACACGCTGTGCGTGGAGGTAGGGATTGCACAAGGTGTACATATTACCGTCGTGTTCTTGGGATCATTGTTGGGCAGGGGTACGGTGACAAGGATACTCTGGGATCTCGGGCTGAGTGCGAATGTAGATTCTGTAAGGATTAGGCGATGCGATCGAAGCGAAAAGTTACATAAAATGAGGATGAAATCATATACCAGAGGGGCAACGTGGGCGGAGCACGGCCACTATTTTCGTGCCTGGAGACGGGCGGGTATCTATCCTCCCTTTTTATCGGTGCGCAGGATCCGGCGGTATGGAGACTCGCTTGCTGGTGAAAAGCCAGTCAGCTCGCGTTCATCCGTTTCAGATGGCCGCGAGCTGGCTGGGTTTTCACCAGCAAGCGGGTCCCCGCCTCGACCGATCCTGGTTGCCAATGGAGTGGGGACATAGGTGCCCGCCCGGGACGAACGTGTTCCTGGCACGGAAGCGGAGGCGCGGGTGCCACCCGGCCGGCAGCATTGCTGTGAAGGGCTATAGCTCATCGGCTCGATTCACGTGAGCCCAGATATTATGCAGCAATATTTCTTTTTTCCCGCGTCGCGTAATTTGTGTTTTTTTCTCTGGTCGTTCCAAAAGCATTTACGCACAAAACACATTCTGAAGCTTTAGCTTATCATGACCAATATCCGTAGAAGTTTCAATCGACTCCTCCACACCTTGCACAAACATGGCCCGAAATGCTGATCTCGAGCTACACTGGAAATCTGGCGGTGTCTCAGGCATGGTTCGGTGGAGGTATCGCAGATCGTGACCCCTCCCCGAGTTTGAGGGGCTTTCGCCTCCTGTGGCCGACGAGAGTGTGCAGTATGCAGGTCGCCCTGATCAGGCGCAGAACGTGAGCAGCCCTTGCACTACCCGACGTCTATGCCGCTCTGAACAACCCATCAATGTAGTAAATACGCGATATAGACTTACACCGACATTCAGCGACGTGGTCGAAACGTGGTCCACGAAGGCACCGGGAAGGCTCCTGGGGAGGGAGGGGCAACGGCATGCGAGAAAAGAAATGGCGATGGTCGTAGTCAGAGTGAATCGACCAGGATAAATGATAAACTCTCAATACGACCTCCGTCCTTTCTTTCGCCTATCGATGCAGTATTACGACCTCCGTCGGCTATTATCTCGCATGACGTCCCCCCTAGTCACTTCACTCCCCAGGGAGCCTTCCTGGAGCAGTCCTTGCCCAAGCTTCGAGCGCTGCACTCAACGTGAGGACATTTTAAAACGCCCATCTACTACGTACATTGAAGGGTTTTGAGTATGGCCCAGACATCGCACGCGAACATTGAAATGCGAATATACTATCTACGCGGCATGTAGGCATTGCGCGGTATATCTTATCAGTGTATACTCCGGCGCGCACACATGAACGAACAGTGTAATGCGAAACCTTCAATGGAGGCCGCCGCCTCTCATGTCGCCCTGATACGTGGGTATCTGATACATGGGTATCTGGCAGGCTCGCATGATGTCACCGTATGTCGGGGATCACACGGATGGCTCCTTCCTGCCCTTGATGAATGTGCATGTCGTCCTTCTCTGATATGCTGTTGATCCAGAACCCGCCTCCACCGGAGCCGACCGCGGCAGCCGTCGCCGAAAGGCTGGCGAGGGCGTCAATGCTGAGCCCGTCATGGCCCCGACTCCCGAGCCCGCCTCTCGTGGCGAGGACCAGTCCCAATTATACCTGCGGACCATTGCCACAATTCGAACGAAGGGCACCAGATTGAAAACGAGGACCATCATCACCAGTATATCCAAGGACCATCGTCACAGTTAAACCCTACAAGCCGGTTCAAGCAAGAAACCCAAAATTTGTTCCCCCACTGATAACGAACGCAATTACTCACCAATCAACACACTCCATATACCATAGTGACCCCCACGCTTGGCCTAGGACAGTGGCATACCTGGAATGACGACACCTTTCTACGGTGGTCGGGCGCAATACTGTGTCTTGGCCAAGCAACGGCCTTCATGCTGTTCGAGAATCAAGAGCTCAAAATACTGATGCGACCTTCTTCGACCGGAGTTCAACGCAAAATGACCTTCCAGCTCTTGGAACCCAATAATAAAGGCAGAAGTGAAAACGTACACGGTTGGAGCGAGTTACACCCCAAAGGGTGGGATTTCCGGTGTTGGCTCTTTGGCGTCGTCAGATGGCCACCGGTTGTACGGAGCAACCGCCCAGAATGCAAAACGTTTTCCGTCGTATATATCAGAGGAAAGCATGGATCGTTCCCAAATTTGGCAGCTTGACAGGTATTGATGCTACTAATCCGAAACAACATTCTTGAACACTGTTCACGAAGTTTTCCTACTCGTACCGGCATACTGGGGTCTAACGGATAGGACCCCGGAAGCCGGTATATATATGTATTTCAAATAAAAAATCAAATTCGTTCGGCTCCGGTGTAGGGTGTTGAAGGATTGTACAAAATTTCGTTGCCCAAGGGGCGATGTTTGTGGTACTTGGATATGAGTCCGATCTGTGCATCCTCTGTGGGGGATACGCGTATTGGAAGTATGGATGTGAGGGTATGTATGCGGTTGTGGTCCAAGTGCGGGCCCCCCGGGAGCACACAGCGGTGTGCTCCCGGCACTTGCCTGAGGGGCTTGCGTGTCGAATACCAGCTTGCCTGAGGGGCTTGCGTGACGAATATATACAATACATGGTCCTTTTTTATCAGCTGTTCCTGGGATAACATAGTCCCCAGTTTCAACACCACAGACCGCTGAGGGCGGCAGTGCACTAACACGATATCGAGTGGAGCCTAGCTAGGCCAGGTGTTGGTACAGCGATGACGGAAAGAGAGAGAGAGAGTTGTTGGAAGAAAGAACGAAGAAAGCGGAAGCCGAGAGTGCGGAGTTACGGAGGAAACTTGAGGAGGAAAGGGAGCGCAGTTCAGCGGGGGACGCTACGAGAGATAGGGTGGATGGCGCTGGGTACGCGTCGGGGTATTATAGGGGTGGAGCAGCCGTGGTGGCGGACACCTTTGGAGCCGGGGGAGCGGCTACTTCTTTTCGAGATGGTCCAGTGCAACAGCAGTACAGGGACCGCAAGCCACCAGTGTACGACGGCAACTTCCCGCTCTTCAAGACGATATTCGAGATCTTCCTCGCCGGCGAAGATCTTGGGCACACACTCACTCCGCCGGCGAGTCCTGATAATCGCATCTGGCTCATCCACACATCCAGGAGCGAGAACATCAGATTCCACAGTGAGAAGCGTGTGCGTGATCACGAGCGTGCTTTCGATTACTTGAGGCGAGCCACGAAGGGGGCGAAATTTCAATCGACAATTCTTGCTGTAGGGAATGTGTCGGGGGCATGGGAGGCGGCCCAGGAGTTTTGTCTTCCGATGAGTAGCTCTGAAAAGGAGGCCCTGAAGTTGTCTCTCGCTAACATGAAGATGCAGCTCGGAGAGGACCCGCAAGACTACTTTCTGAGGTTTAACAAAGTGCTGAATACGCTTCGCGCTGTCAACGGTTATGAAATCCCGGAAAGTGAGGTCCTTGCGACTTTACGTAGAAGCCTCTCGGCAGACTACGAACAGGTCAAGATCGTGCTCATGCATGATCACACGCTCACACGCAGAAGCTTGGAGATTCTTGTGCGTAGCCACCACGTTGAGAATAATCTCGGTGATCGTGCACAGCGGACGGCCGCGCCGGCTAGCGATCCGCACGCTCTCCGTTTCGGCGGAAATTCACGGCCCAACGGTAACGGCGGCGGCGGCGGTGGCGGCGGCGGCGGTGGTGGTCCGCAGCGGAGGACCGGTGGGTTTTCCCAAGGCAGACAACAGGGTAGAGATGGACAGCAGCAGCCGGGGTGGTGAGGGGGAACTCAGGGAGAGTACGACGGGGGATATCGCCCGCAGCTGCAGCAGCCGCAACAGTCGTTTCATCAGCAGGCGCCGCAGCAGCAGTATCAACGGAGATTCCCTCAGCATTTCCGCAGCAGGCGCTTCAGCAGCAGCAGCCCCAGCAGCAGCAGCAGCCCCAGGAGTTCACTCCCGCATGGGATTCGTTCCGGGTGGTCCCAGGAACCCCGGGCGGAACGCAGCGTGGCCGCAGGAGGCGTCCCCCACTCCCCCGGGATCACCGATGTGCGCCGTGCCCATGTGTGGTCGCTGCGGTCATGTCGGGCACACGGCCATCATCTGCCAGGCTCCTCCGCGATTTTATGGTAGGTGTTCTAGTTGTGGTGAATCCGGCCACACGGCGCGCAACTGCAAATTTAACACATCCAACAATCTGCAGCAGCCGCCGCGCCAACACGCGGCGGCCAACACGTCTCAGGTACCCCACCTCAACGCTGTAATGCCCCCACCTTACCAGCCTTTCTCGCAGCAGCCTTTCCCCCAGCACTCCCATCTCAACAGCGCGGAGCCGGGGTATTCGGCAAGTTGTGTAGACGGGTCGATAGCGCACCATTGGCCGGTGTCGGCGCCTCTTCCGCAGCAACACCTGGCCGTGGTACATCAGGATGCTTCCAGCGGAGGTGTGCAGCCATGGCAGGGTTCCGGCAGCAGCGGCTATGGTGGTGTGCCCCAGCAGCAGGAGCCGCAGCAGCAGCTGCAACAGCAGGAGGGCCGCGCGTGGGGGGATGATTCCGGCGTGGATATACAGGTCAGTGGCGGTGAGGGTGAATGCGTTGATGGAGTAGGGGGGGATGGTCATGCCGGTTCGTACGGCACCGTAGAGCCGGTAGGTCCCCCCCCCGATCGTAATGCTCTTCACGTTTTCTGCCAACACCGTCACCCTGTATCGTATCCGCCGGCCCCTGTCCCCACTTTGGTGTCGGCGACTGGGCGTACCGACTGGTGGGTTGGTGATAGTGCCGCGTCTACCCACCGCACTAGCAGCACCGACTTCGTGTCGTCCCCGGTCGCCGCATTGGCCCCGGGCACCTCGACGGACGCACCAGCGGTGGCGGCGGCGTCGGCGGCGGGGGTGGCGGCAGCGGCGGCAGCAGCAGCGTCGTCCCCGGTCGCCGCGACGGCCCCGGGCACCTCGACGGACGCACCAGCGGTGGCGGCGGCAGCGGCGGCGGGGGGGGCGGCAGCGGCGGCAGCAGCATCGTCGTCCCCGGTCGCCGCGATGGCCCCGGGCACCCTGACCTGCAGCAGCAGCGGAGACGACGGCATCTGCGGTTTCGAGAGGGGCGCGTCGTACCCGTTTGACCCTGGAGGATTTTATACGGTGGAGGTGCGTGTGGATGGAGAGGGGAAGTATGGTGGAGAGACGGATGACCGGAGCAGCGGCGGCCGCAGCAGCAGCAGCAGCAGCAGCAGCAGCGGCCGCAGCGGCGGCGGTGTCGACATCGGTGACGGGTGTAACGGCAGCGGCGACAGCAGCAGCGGCGTCCCCGGCCGCCGCGTTGGCGTCGGGTGTCCAGACGGCCGCAAGGGCGGCGACGAGGGGTTGCATGAAACCTGGAGTGGAGCCCCGACACACCCTTTTGATCCCGGGAAGACTGAGGAGGAAGTGAGCAACAGCAGCAGCAGGAGCAGCAGCAGCAGCAGCAGCAGCAGCGAGGAAAGCGGCGGTGATGGGAACGGGGATGAGGGGTTAGATGAAACCTGGAGTGGAGCCTCGACGCACCCCTTCGACCCCGGTAAGACATCTTCGCGTGGCGCGAGGAGACGGGGGGCGGTACCAGGGGTGGCGTACCCCTTCGATAGGGGCAGGAACGGGAGTGGCAGCTCCAACGGCGGCAACGGCGGCCGCCCCGACGGGAGTGGTGGCTTCGGCCAGAGCTCCAGCGGCGACACCGGCGGCAGCAGGAGCAGCGACGAGAGTGGTGGCTTCGGCCAGAGCTCCGACGGCAGCAGACGCCGGCAGCGGCGGTTTTGGCCAGAGCCCCGTCGGCGGCAGCGGCGACAACGGCGGCGGTGGTAGAGGCGGCAGCAGCGACGTTACCGGCAGCCGTGTTGGGGCTGGAACTCATGACGGTCGTGGCGGCGGGGGAACGGCATCGGTGGCGATGGCAGCAGCGGCAGCAGCGGTGGCGCCCTCGAGTCGACCGGGAACGGGGAGGACACGGTGACAGCGACGATCTCACTTTGTTACAGCCAAGTGGGCAATCATGTGAAACGTTTACGACTTTGTTCGGTTTTGCGAGCAGCCATGGACGTTTTAGCTTCGCCGTTTGGCTTCGTATTAATATTATTATTAGTTTTTTCCTGTTTTTCCCTTGCAAGCGCACCGTTCACTTTGATGCAGAAACACGTGTGCCACGGCGTGTGCGTAATATATATATTTTTCTGTACTTGGTTTCATGATCATAAATGTTCGCTGCGACAAGATAAGCATTGCCACGAACCTGTGGAATATGAAGCAGCAGGTGAGTTTTTATTTTATTTTTTTCCGTGCTTCGTCGTATGTTTTCAGTCACGTTTTACCTTGCAGCTGAATGCTTCATATTATTTCCCTATTCTTTGGCGGGAGTACGTTCAGTCGCGTTTTGCGCTTAGGCTTTTGGTTTGTTTGTTTGTTTGTTTGTTTGTTTGTTTGTTTGTTTTTTTATGTTAGGTCCTGAGTTAAGCGGTCGCTCTCTGCGGTGTGTTTTTGGCCGCGCGCAAGAAATGGGATGATAGCGCGTTGCTTGACGTGCATGAAGGC